TCCCCTGCCGCGCGGCCATCCTGTCCCAGGGGCGAGCTGATCATAATTTGGCGCCAGTGGCGCGTCAAACCTGAGACCCGGCTGGATCTTGCCCGAGACTGCAACCAAGCTGGAGGAGGGGATAATTGAGGCGGCCCATCGCCAGTCCAGGGTGTCGCGGGGCCAGGCTGCCATCTTCGGACAGCGCCGTCCAGGGCGGCCGAGGCCTCTACAGACATGAGCCCGCCGCGGCCAAAGGGGGCAAGTGAGGGTGAGATGTCGGGCGCGTGAGGGGGGCGGCCCCGACGGCAAGCCCGAAGAGGTGGCAGGTGGGCCACTTGTCCAGCGAAGGCTGTCTGGCTAAGCTGCGCCAGGGTGATAAGGGGTTAGCCCCCGCCCCAGCGGAGGGTGGCCTTGGGCATTGCGGCCCGGGCCGGGCGCAGCGAGGTGAGACGGGCCCAGTCGGGGCCACGGGTAGCGGGAGGTGGGGAGAGACCCAGGGACCTCCCTGCGTTGATGCCTGCAGCTGGGAGCACGGATGCCACGGCGCGCAACTCAATGGCGGGAGCGAATCAACCTTGGGCATCGGGGTCGCTCTTGGCCCACCAGCGGCCTCGCTTTTCGGAGTCGCGGTCGTCTCCGCGTGGAGAGCGCCGCTTGCCCCCTCCTCTCCAGTCGGAGTCCGTCCATGGGGTATCGCGACGTTCCCATGAGGACCATCCCTGCCAGCCTCGCCATTGGTCGGGGATGGCCGTTCCAATGGCGCCTGCCCAGGGGCCCCGTGCCGCTGTTCGCACGACCTTGCGGCCCTCGGCTGTCCAGGGGGCCGGCGTGTCGCGGCCGCTGGGTGCGCGGGGGGCGTGCGCGGGGGCGTCGTGCCGCACGGGGAAATTCATATGCTTGCGTCGAACTTCGACCCAGTGTATACCGAGTCCGAGCTCATGATCCATCTGGTACGCGTCGTAGCCAGAGCGAGCCCAAGCTTTCATGAAGGCCGAGCACGTCTCAGGTGCGTTGAGTCGGGGCATGCTCTAATAGCCTCCCTTGAGGCCCTGATTCTGGGCAGCTCGCTTGGACCACGCATGCCACATAGCGTTGAAGGCGCCTCCCAGTGTCTTTTGCAGGCGTGCAATTTTGGCCTGAATGGCTTCGCCCTCTTCCACGCCCGCGGCTGCCACGGGGCATCTGAACATGGGGCCGCCGCCCTTGGGGTCGCGGAGGCCTTCGTAGTGCTGCTGGTCTCCGCTGATGTCTTTCCAAGGTTCCTTGCGCGGCTCCGCGCGCGTAGGGTTCCACCTTGGGGACTTGGCGGCGCGTCCTCTCCCGCCCCCGGCGTCCTCAGAGACAGGGCGGTCGCGCCCTTGGTACCAGGGAGCGGAGGTGAGCGCGCGGTCTGCTCTGGCCCCCACGTGATCCCAGGACGATGCGCTGTCCTTTCCAGCGTCGTCTTTGGCCCGCTGGAGCTCCATGGCTGCATTCTGGTCGACGGTCCGCGCATGGGGCGACCATGGGGCGCTGTTGGAAGGCGCTCCTGAGAATGCGCCTAGGGGGTGGAGGGGGCATTCGTCCTCGTCCTCCTCAGCGGCAGGTTCAGGGCTCGCGCTCGGGCATATTTCCTTGGCCGTTGCGGCTACGGCTCCTAGGTCGTCGCCCCAGTCCGGCGATGCGTGCTCGCCCCCGGTCTTGCAGGCTTGCCCGGCGCTGTCCTGCTCGTCTGTGGTGGATTGGGGTTGGGGCCTAGCCTTGGTCCCCTCGTTGCCGGGAGCCTCGTGCACCACCCTGGGGGCGTGGCCCGGTTGTGTCTCCTGTTCCAAGGTTCTGCTGGCTGGGAGGGGGGCCTCCGCTGCATCGCTGCGTCTGTCCAGCCAGCATGCTGCGGGAGAGTTCGCCGCGGTCGCTGAATCGGCGACGGTCTGTACCGAGCCCAGCTGCGCCAGGGAGTCGATGGTGCCATCGGCGAGGGCGGCGGGGTCCATGTCCACGAGGTATCGCAAGAGGGTGCTGGTCTGGTGGCGGAAGGGGCAGAGGCCGCGCTGCTCCTCCAGGCTGGCGACGCGTGCCCGCCATTTGTTCGCATGCACCTCGTTTTGCGACAGGTGGGAAACGACTCGTGCAGCTGCCGCGTGCTGGCTGTCCCATGGGATGTCTGGGGGATGGCACTTATCCAGGATCGTCTGTCCGTAGTTGCTGACCAGGAAAGGGCGTAGACGCTGGGGAGGCCAGGACTCCTCGTTGGTCTTCGCGCCTGTGATCCCGTCGTCGTACTCCCGCACGTAGTCAAACCACCGACCGAAAATAATGGGGTTCCACTCGAGCAGGAACCTGACCAATGAGCGCAGGACGCCATGGGAGTCCTGTCCGGAGAGCTCGGAGGTGGAATGGGTCGGTAGGGCGGTGCCCGAGGGCGGGGGGATGTCGGGGAACAGGGGTTCGATGTCCCGAATCCCGGAGCCTTGGCCGCTCGACCTCCCGGTAAGGTTGGCCCGGTCGTCACCAGCGAGGAGGGGCGAGCCTTCGGCAAGGGTCGCCGGTTTTGTGTAGGCGCCCGGTGCGGTAGCGTCGGCGCTGTCTGGGGTGAGATAAACGGCGATGTTTGTGTTTTCAGTCCACCTCCGTCGCTGTCTCCCGCTTGGCCGGCTCCGTGAGGTAGACGCTCGAGGTCTGCTGGTCGAGGATGTAGTCGAGCTTGCCCGGGGCCACGTCTCAGATTCCAGATGTGCGTGAGACACTGCCTACAGGCCCAGCTGGCGTTCCACTTTCGCTGGGCCCAGAGGGCGGGCATCAGGTCCCACGGTGGGAGACCGGTGTTGTCGACAACGGGCATTTCGGGCTCTGGGCTCCAAAGTAAGCAGCCTAGTGCGGGGTGGGTCGTGGCCCACACCAGCAGGGGCGCCCCCGTCGGGCAAGTGTCACACCGGGCTGAGTAGGAGCCATGGGTGTGGGTCTCGGGGCCGAACCTCCCGTCCGTCTGTTTGTGAGCTGGGAGAGTCATGTTGGCGGCGCGTGGACTGAAGGCGGACGGGGTCTTCATGACGAGGTCGCGCAAAGAAGTAGGGTCGGGGCCAGAACTGGTCGCCCGCATCCGATCGGCAGTCGCGCCAGGGATGGGAGCGCCTTGGACTTCCTGTCTGGACGCGTTCTTTCCAGGGTGCTCTTGTACTCCTGCAATCGCGCAGCCAGGGACCTCTCGTGGCCGCAGGTCGTACGGGGCGAGGGGCGTGTCGATGCCCTGCGCTTCCGCAGAAGCGATCCAGCATCGCTCGCAGAGCCACCTGCAATTCCTGCCCAGTATGTACGCCTGGGAACGATTCTGTGCTAGGAGTTCCCTCGTGTCGTCGTCTTCTCAGGTGCCGGCTGAGGACTGGAGCCTTTTTCTGGGGCAGCCGGTGCCGTCGCAGTCGAACCGGTCGTTCTTGAGGTCGCAGCCAAACCTGTCGTCGGTCACCCTTACTGGGTTCAGTTGTATTCCAAGTGCCGGGGAGGCTGGGGTGTCTTCGTCGAGCCGCCTGTTTGACATGACGTGGCGATGCCTCCCCCGATGTACTGCAAACCTGCCATTGTGTCCGGGCACCCGAGACCTTCTTCTGACCCGCTGAGTTCTTTGTGTAGGGTGCAAATTGAGCACCCGCTCGCCCCTAAGGAACTGATCATGGCCGGTTGGACAAGCGTCTCCAGGACCCTCATGGGAGCTTCCAGGGGGAAGTTGCTGTCTTGCATTCCGGCCCCGGTTCGTGGGCAGTCGTGCTCGATAGCGACTTTGTGGTGGTGGGCGTACGAGGCAAGCATGCTGATGTGCTTGATGACGTCCTCGAACTTCCCGTGGAGAGTGGTCAGGGCTCTAAGGGTGAAGCCCCAGGCGTGCGCGAAGGCAGTCCTGTAGTCAAGGTGGACGTTCTGCCAGGGAACGCACATGCCCATTGCTGCCTCCAGGATGTCCCCCGTGGCCTCAGGGTGTGGGAAGGGGCTCACGCAGCTGAATCATCATGACGACTAGGAGTGCTCTGAGCGAGGGGGTGTCCAGGGGGCTGCCACCGCTGCGCTGGTGGGGATATGCGAAGCGTCAAGAATTGGGAGAAGGTAGCCAGGGAAGGGGTGGGGAAGGGACAAGTGGGGCTGGAGAAGAGGTAGCGAGGGGGGAAGGTGAAACGCCGGGGCGGACGGGGGGGAAACCAGAGAGGGTGGAGAGGGGTGGGGTGGGGGCGAGGGAGGGGATGGGGATAGAGCGGGAAGAAATGGGGGTGGACATGACGAAGCTACGGACGGGATTGGGAACGGGAGACTCGGGATGGAGAGGGGGGAGCGAGGGAAGGGGGAAGCTGAGTGGAACGGTAGTGGGCAGAGGCATGCTACGCATGCCGCCTTTTCGTCAGACGGAAGACAGGCCACACGCTAGCCCACATGCAAGATGGGGGTGGAGAGGAGGGATCGGGGAAAGGGATGGGGAAAGGAGAAGTGTGGGCGGGAGACAGGAGGGAGGGAGGGAGGGGAGGCGGACGAAAAGGGATTGATCGAGGGCCATTTGGCCAAGTCCGGGCCTCAGGCCAGAACACCCTCCGCCGCACGCGCCTCCGCCCGTGGGCCTGTGGGCTACCGCGACTGGGGGGAGGCGAGGAAGGGGCACAAAGAAGGAGGAGGAGGAGGAGGCGGAGCAGGAGCAAGAGCAGAGAAGGGGGGCTGGGGGGTGGGAGAGGGTCACTGCCCAAGCATCTCCGACCATGGTCCTGTTCCCCCACTCGTCATTGCACCGGCCTTGCAGACGTGCTGCAGCGGATTCCTGCGTGGATTTCTGCGTGGATGTTTGCCCGCAACGGCGAGCGAAAAACGAAGTGAATTTCGCGTGGATGTTGCTTGGTCTTCATTCCTGGCCAAGAAAAACCGCACGAAATTCGCCTCGAAATCAAGAGCGAAATTCTCCAGGACTCTCCGGGCCCATCCTATCGTTTTCCGAACGAAATCCGCTGTGCGATGTTGGCGCCATGACACTCGCGACGCGATGCAGAAAGCGGTCAAAACTCCATGACCATGAACGCGGGGATCGACGGAACGCTCTCGCCGAAAAGGCCCATCCGGAAGGGCTCCGTGTTGTCCTGGGGCTGAGCGCGACCCTCCTCACCCACAACCCCCTTCCTCTCTCCCCTGTCCCTCTCTCCTCTCGTCCCCTCGAGAAAGGGAGGGGGGAGGGGAGAACAGAGACGGGGAGGGCAGATTGAACGAACTCTGGGTGAGAGCGGAGGAAGCTCCCAAACCATTCAGAACGCACCCAGCACCGTCCAGAATCCCCCTCCTCGTGCTCCTCCTCCTCCACCAGGCCCTCATCGGGACCTCTTGGGAAGGCGACGCGGTCTCTCGTTGTTTCATTGAGGGGTCCACCTTCAAAGACTTCTGGGGGACGTCTGAGGGGCGGGGACCAGGGGGGCGGCCCGTTCGGAGCTGGTCCTGGGCTCCTGGCCGGGACTGCCGCCAACTTGGGGAGCGTGGGATGTGTGGTGGTCGTTTTTTTATTCATTGTTTTGCCGGTCGGCGCGGGCCCTCGGGAGTCTCCCCTCACGTGACGCACTGTCGCAAACAGTCGCACTAAGCAGAGGTCCAGAGCCAGACTCCATCCTTTCCCCCCACCCCCTCCCGTCCAATGTCGAAACGCCGAACAAAAAACGCTCACATGTTTGCTTGCTCGTTTCACCCTCTCCGGCAGGCCGGGAAGGGCTCGAGGTGCACACCAGGCCGTCCAGTCGGACAAGGAGCTTGGTGCAGGCTCCCCAGCTTCCCAAGCTGTGGCATGCGGGGACGCCTACGGCTGCAGCACCCATGCAGTGTGTGTGTGACTTCGGAGGAGAGGAGGGGTCGAGAGGAGGAGGAAGCCAACTGCATCTGCACAGAGTCGGAATCGAATTGAATCGGCCGCGCCAGGATGCACAAGAGTGCCACGCAAACACGGGGCATGACAATCATCGAGGATTCGGATCGATCGGATCGAAGTGGACCCCGCTAGAGGTGCCCCCCTAGCTACCAGGGCTTATGGCGAATCCGATACATGCCTTTGTGAAATTTCCGACTGGACAACCAATTTGGGACCAACCTGGGAATCTGCGGTGGGGGGCGCCCATCCTCGACTGGAGTGTGTCAGAAGGGCCCCTTCCCCACGGGGGGTGCATCTCAAGGTTCCCCCCCTCCAGGCTCTTCGGCGGGAAGGGCTCGGGAATGTCTGGGGCGAGGGCCTGCGACGGGTGTTGGTGGTAACGCAGTCGTCCTCGTGGTCGTGGTCGTGGTCGTGGTCATGGTCGTCGTCATCGTCGTCGTGGTCGTCGTCGTCGTCGTGGTTGCCGTCGTCGTGGTCGTGGTCGTCGTCGTCGTTGCCGTCGTCGTCGTCGTCGTCAACGTCGTCACCGTCAACGTCGTCGCCGTCGTCGTCGTCGTCGTTGTCGTCCATCGTCCGTCGTCTGTCGTCCATCGTCCGTCGTCCGCCGTCCGTCGTCGACGTCGACGTCATCGTCGGCGTCGTCGTCGTCGTCGTACGTCGTCGGACATCGGTCGTCGTCGTCGTCGTCGGTGGTCGGTCATCGGTCGTCGTCGTCGGCGGCGTCGCCGACATCGCCGCCGTCGGCGCCGTCTGTGTTTGCTTCTCGGGCCGCGGCCCGCGAACCGCCCGGCGCGTGCGCGCCGCGAGCCCGCGCCCCGCGCCGGGCTCGGCCACCGCCTACTTCTCCATAGGGGAGCAAAGACCAGCACGAGCACGAACTTTCACAGGTCCGCGCGGATTCCTCGGGTCGGCGCTGGGTCCCCCTGGCGGCGCCTCCGGCGCCGACCCGAGGAATCCGCACGGACCTGTGAAAATTCATGCTTATGTCATTGCTCGTTCCCCTATTCTCCTCCTTCGCGGCGAGGCGGGCGGCCATCTTCTCCGGCACCTGTGCTGAGAGGGGCAGCCGGTGTTCTTGGAAGTCCGAATGATTCGAGATACTCCGATCCGGGGTACCTCCAGTTCGGGCCCCCGGCGCACGAACCAGGAGTTATCCTTGACCACCCCCAGCCCCGATGATTCGGGATTGGTTGGACGCCCAGCTGATCCGGGATAGCTGTGGTCTGGAGCGGCTCCAGTCTGGATCCCCGAGGCACGAATCAGGAGCCACTCCTGACACCCTCCGGTCCTGATGATTCGGGGCTCTGATGGTCGGCGCGGCCCCCGCCTTCGGCAGCAGTGCTGAGGCGCACCATCTGGAAGTACCCTTAGTTCGGGCGTGTCTCCCCGTATTTGTTTAAACTATGCTTGAATATTCCCCCTGTAGAGGGACGTGCCCGACTTAAGCCTGACGCCGCCTGCGCACCCCTCCTGACGCAGCTTCCCTGCGTCTGGGGTCTCCTCCCCTCGCCTCCTCCACGGCCGCCCTCTTCTCTCCCGCTCGCACCTGGCGCGCCTCTGGTTCGGCGCGCCCCGCCTGCCTCAGCGCGCGCTTGCGACCGCCGGCGCTGCTGACAAGAACATGCTCAGGGGGGCAGCGTCAGGGGGGGGACCAGCTCAGGGGGGGAGCACCGACCTGGAACTGGCGATGCCTCCCCCACAGATCGGCAGCGAATCCACGCGTTCCTGGGGCAGGGTGGGCTTGCACGGTTTCCCCTGGGGCCGTAGGCGACCCGAGGAGGAGGAGGAGGAGGAGGAGGAGGAGGAGGAGGAGAAGGAGGAGGAGGAGGAGGAGGAGGAGGAGGGGGAGGGGGAGATGGAGGAGGAGGAGGAGGAGGAGGAGGAGGAGGAGGAGGAGGAGGAGGAGGAGGGAGGAGGATGATGAGGGAGGAAAAGGAGGAGGATGATGAGGGAGGAGAAGGAGGAGGAGGAGGAGGAGGAGGTCGGTCGGTCTATCGCCATATGATCCAGATGCTCACTTACCTTGCACAGCGTGGGATCGGCGTGCGCGAATGATGCACTATGCATCCCGCGTTGTCAAAACGATGGGAGTCTCCCCCTGGCACAATTCGGGGACACCATGAGCCACAACATGTCAACAGACTGTGGGCAGGAAGAAAAAGGAAAAGAAAAAGGAAGGGTATGGAGGGGCGGGGGGGGGCGGTGCCTGGTCCATCGCGTCCGTGTCGCACGGTCGCTCTCGGACGGGCACTACCCATCCGCGGCTCCAGAAAGAGAAAAAGAAAAAGGAAAGAGATGGAGGGGCGGGGGAGGCGGTGCCTGGTCCAACGCGTCCGTGTAGTACGGTCGCTCTCGGACGGGCGCTACCCATCCGCAGCTCCCTCATGCTCCCACCCGCCCGCACCCCCCAGGGAGCAGGACGACGAAGGAGAGGGAAAGGCGGGGGGCCACCCCACGAGAGGAGCGCGAGAGGCCACGGAGAACGGGTCGCCTAAGCCCTTCGGAGAAACCCTCCAGCAGGATCGGGGGGCGAGGCGTACTCCATGCGTCGTGTCCCCCCAGACCTGGGCGAGCGCGTTCCACGACTTCCTCGCAGAGGAGCTGCTCGCAAATGGCCTGGACCCGCGGCGGGGAACCTACGAGCGCAGCGATGAAGCGTCGAGGCGAACATGCTTTGCGAGTATAGGCACTCTGCGAGTATTGGAAGCGCGCAGAAGGGGGTAGGGGGAGGGGGGAAGGCTTCTTAGAATGAGGCTGCTTCTTAGAAGGCGCCGGCCTTACATCTACAAAGAAGGCCCGCGCCTTCTAAGAAGCAGGGGTGCTTCTAAGAAGCCTCCCCCCCTCCCCCTACCCCCTTCTGCGCGTGGCCAGGAGTAGTGGAGCGCGCCCGGTGGAGAGCGCTGCCCCCTGGGGAGAGGGGGGGATTCGAAGAGCTGCCGCGGCGCGAACGAGTGGGTGTCGCGAGGCTGGAGGCCTCCCGAGATAGCAGGGGGGGCCTCTTCGGAGGCGGGGGGGGGCCTTCCTGGAAGGGCCCCGGGGGCCTCGGAGAGGGCCCCTTCGGAAGCCGCCAGGGCTCCTGAGAAGCCTGCCCCCTTCGAAGCCAGGAGGGCTTCGAAGGGGGCTTCCCGAGAAGGCGGCGCGGGGCCTCTTCGAAGGCGAGGGGGGGCCCCTCCGAAGGGCCCGGGGGGGCTTTTGAGAGGGCTTCTTTGGAAGCCAGCAGGGCCCCTGAGAAAAAAAAAGGCATAAACATAAACTGGTGGCGCTCTGCACGGGTTTTTTGGATCCTCGCCGGACCCCCCTCCCTAGCGCGCGGAACGTGCCAGGGGCGGCCCCAGAGGCGCCGCCAGGGGGGCCCAGCGCTGATCCAAGAAATCCGCGCGGAGTGCCAAAAGATTATGTTTGCGTTGTTTCGAAGATACGAGGGCTTCGAAGGGGGCTTCTTTGGAAGCCTGCCTGCTTAGAGGAGCCCTCCTGGACGGGGGTTCCAAACACATGGGGCGTTCCAGAAAGGGCCTCGCCTTCTGCGCACCTCAGGTCGCTCCCGGCGGAAGGCCAGCGGAACGCCAGCCGAAGTCGACATCGAATCTGCTCGATCTGATCGGGATGGCCCTGCACATCTGGCACGGACGGCGGGAGCCCTCTCCCGCCCATTTCCGTCGAGGGACGAGGCCTCCAGGGTCGGCGGCACCGGCCGTAAGGCCTTCGCAATCGAACATGCTTGATCGGATCAGGATGGCCCTATGCTTAGGTCGGGCATGTACCCCTACAGGGGGATTTCGGAGGACAAATAAAAATATTGAAACATATTCCAAAATTGTCGAAATTAGCAGAAAAATCGTCCCCTGACCATTTCTGGAGTATTTTTGAATGCTCCCCCTGTAGAGGGACACGCCCGACTTACCCCTATGCATCTGGCACGGACGGCGGGATAGGAAAGGGGGACAGGGATTCAGCCCGTGTATCATGCAGCCGCTGTCCCTGGCGCCTCCCGGCGCCGGAGGCGCGAGTGAGTCTGAAACTGGCGTCATGCGGCAATTTCCGTGACCTCCCCGTTCCTGATCCCCCCCTCGCGTCCAGCCCGAGTGATCACCGTCTGTTGGTTTTGGGGTCGCAACTCCAATCTCCGGTGGCCTTTCGGGGCGATGCGGGAACCCCTGGAACGCTCTCGGCGAGGTGCAGCTGCTGGAACTCATACCGAGGCTGAACACAAGCACCAAGAACCGTGTACTACACCACGAAGGAAGAAGACCCCACACAGCACAATCGAGAGTGAAGCAATTACTTGACTGTGCTGCGCACACTGGAGAGCATACGGGAGACCATAAGGAAGGCCGTACGGGAGACCATACGTGATATCATACGAGAGAGAGAGAGAGAGCGTGCAGGAGGGCACGCGGGAGACCACGGGCCACGGGCAAGCGACGTGCTCTGAAATAGCACATAGGCTCTTGCAGACAAGCTGTTCAGGGGCAAACGCCCCAAACACCTCTAACATGAAGTCGGGCCTGTCCCTCTACGGGAAGAAAATTCAAACATAATCCCCAACAACATCGGGGGGGACGATGCTTTTCACTACTTCTCCGTAGTTTGGGACATTGTTTGGGTATGTTCTATTATTCGTCTAAAATCCGCCTGTAGGGGGATACGCCCGACCTCACTCTAACATTGAAGCCCAACACCTCGAGCATCGATCCCCCTTTCCTCCCCCCCCCACGCACACACGCACACACACACACACACGCTCGGGGGCGTCCAAGAGGGGAGCGTAGAAGAGTGGTGTTAACAGACTATGAGCCGAGGCACATGCGCGCCCTATGGGGTGGTTTAGGGGACGCATTGAAAGAAGAAGAAGAGGCGGCAATGAAACATGACCCCGGCTACGATATCCCCCTTCCTGGTCGTCACCACCCTCGTGCCACCCCCGCGACATTTCATCCGAACCGAACAGCAAACCCCGAAGTAGATCGGGAGACCAAGAAGGACGGGCGCGACCAGCCACGGTCAGGAGCGCGCCGCGCAGTCCGCGGAACGCTCGCGGGATTCAGGAGGCACAACTCTTGAAAGATCTTCGTAAGAACGGCTGAGGGCTATTGAGCCCGATGAAACATCCGCTGTGCTGGAATTGGGTTGGCTTTGTTATGCCGGTTTGGGCTGGCTTTTGGCCACGGCTACGCCAGCGTCGATGCTGCATTCAACCTCCCAAGCGTTGCGTCCGAACGTGATGCGCTCTCTCCTCCTCCTCCTCCTCCTCATCCTCCTCCTCCTCCTCCTCCTCCTCCTCCTCCTCCGCCTCCGTCCGTCCGGCACTGCTTCGGTACAGGGCTTCAGCGCCGGCGGGGAGAGGCCACCTGCCAGCGGACATCCGAAGGGTTTCTTCCCGCGTGGCTGTTTTCCTGGCCCCCTTCTGCACCGGCTCGGAGGCGAGGAGGAACTTCATGTACTCCGAGTTCCGCTGGCGCTTCAGCACGCTCTTGGACGGGCTCTGTGGGACCTTGAAGGGGTGCACCTGCTCGAACTTTCCTTTCTCCTCGTTGAAGACGTGCGGCATGGCGCTGCCGAGGTGTAGCTCTGGAGGGATCGATCCGTGATCTTCCTGTGCCAGATGACAGCCTGAGCCACAGTATGGCTACGGCAGGGATTCTTGGGCCGTCTGGGGGCCGTCCCGTGCTCGTCTAGGGATCCTCCCAGCCGCCCTGGCTGCTCAGACGATGTCGAGGAAGGCCCCGAAGGCCACCTGGAGCCTCGCGGGGGCTCGCACCAATCAAAGCTATGCTCCTTTCCTCTCCGAAGGCCCACGGAGGCCAGAAGAGATGCAGCATCGCGCAGCAACGTCCGAGAGCGGATGCCGCTCTAGGGAGCGGCAGCGAACGAGTGGCTTTTCCTGGTCCTCGGCAAGCCTCGGCCACGAATAGGACCGCCGACGCAGACCTTCGGGGCGTTGACCTAAGGAACTCTAAATAAGGAGCGAGGCCCCTTTTTCCATAAAGTAAACTTCGATTTCCCATGGAAAACCTCGGGACAACTGAAGGCAAACTGTAAAACCATCAAGGACCACGGAGTCCCTCCCCAACGAAAACGGTTCCTTCTTCAGCGCCCCGACTGTAAGGAATGACCCGAGAACCAGAGCACCTGCTGAGCCCGAAGTGGCCCTAACGTAAGCGCCTGAACTTCCGAGCACGCATCGCGCACCCGCCTCCCTTTGGGCAGTCTGGCAGTCTCCGAGCCCCCAAAAGGAGGAGGAGGAGGAGGAGGAGGAGGAGGAGGAGGAGGATAGGGATTACGAGTAGGAGGAGGCGCTCCTCCTACTGGCCCCGGCCTGGGAGGGAGGGAATGGTGAAACCTCCGGGGGGGGAGCGGAGTGGGACGGAAAAGGAGGAGGATGGGAAGGAGGAGGAGCACCGATACCCAGACGACCCCCTGCGACCGCATTGGAGCCACTGGCGGCAAGGGCCGCCCCAGAAGTGGATCCGCCCGACCGCACGGACTCTTGCTGTCTCTCGCGATCTGACGCTGGCCGACGCGAATCGATGACAATCGACGCCGGTTCACGCTAAATCGACGCTAAACAGCGCTTCTCGTCGATCACCAGGCGCTAACGCATGCTGATGCACTCTCTAAACGGAAAATTGCGAGGACATGCGGGACTCCCTTGCTGTGCTTCCGAAGCCCGCCCCAGAAGTGATTGGCGGCGCGCGCAAGGGAGTGGAAGGAGGGGGAGGGCTGCTGAGAAGGAGGCTGCTTCTTAGAAGGCGCCGGCCCTACATCCACAGAGAAGGCCCGCGCCTTCTGACGAAAGCATGCTTCGAAGAAGCCGTGGCAGAAGGCCGGGGCGCTCCAGGTTGTTGAACACGACTGCGGCCACGGCGCCTGCCTCCGCCGCGGCCGACACGGCCTGCACTCGGGGGCCGCCATGCTGGCAAGGAACCGCCGACGACGACGCCCTGGCAGGCAACTCCTGCGAAGCCCTCTGTTGCGGGGTGCTGCGAATTTTCCCGCTTGCCTCTAAGAGCCCTCGGATCCGCTCCGAGGCGGCTCCAAGCGGCCACGGAGCTTCGAAAAAATCCCCCAAGAGGCCCCCAAACAGAGACCAATAGGCTCCTGAGGAAACCCAAAGAAAAGCTCCAGAGCGTCAGCGTGGTTGTCGTCGTCGTCCTCCTTCAGGGTCGGCGTCGCGGCGTCGCTGGCCGTAAGGCCTTCCCAGTCTGGCCATTGCAATCGTTCCACACCAAGCGGCTTCGCCCAGCCTCGAGCTCCAGGACCCTCACGGATCGATCTGGTTGAAAAATGCAGCAGAAAGATTGGATGCAATTTTCTGATTGTGATTGTGGCGACGCTGTAACTTGTTCAACGTCGGATCTCAGGGTAAGCGGGATGAAACCAGATAAGGACTTACACCGATTGCAACAGTATTCGACCAAGGATCTACCAGAGCCGATGCTGACTTTCACCTCCCAGGAGTTGTAACCATGGACGTCGTCGTCTGGGAAAAACAACTGCGCTCATGAAGGTTCTCGTCGCCACCACGGATGAACGCGGATCGGAAACCTGGCCGCGGATAGACACGGAGAGGGGTCCAGCAACTCGCTCTGAGCGGAATGTGGTCGGGCAGCAATCCCAAATCTCCGACGAGATTGCTTTATCCGTCCGGGCGTTTTCCCTCGATTTCGGCCTCGGGAACTTCAAACATATATCTTAGGCGAAAAACTGTCCCCGGGGACGGGGTCGGGACATCTGGGGACTCACATGTATAAAACCAGCCCCGATCCTGAGTAAAGGAGCCTGAGAAAAAGGAGCCTCTGGAGTCGAGCGAGTCGCAAAGGCGGGCGCGTCCCAGGAGCTGCGCGCGCCTTGAGTAAAGATCACCTGCCGAGCGGCTTGCTGCCAACAGTGGCAGGGATCGCATCAACCCAACCACCTGTCCTGCGCTTGTCCAATCAACAATCCAGCCCAACAGAGTGCCGCGAGGGACGGAACGTTAACCCGATGCTCCAAAACTAACAAATGGGACAAACCGTCCGGCTTGATTGACTCAACTTGATCGGGGTTGGGGAGGAGGACGGATTGCGAGGGAGCAATGAGAGAGCGTGGAGAAAAGAGGGAGAGAGAGGGGAGGGAGCTAAGGGGGCGGGGAGAATTGAGGAGAGCGGTAGGGGGACGGGAGGGGAGAGGAGGGAGGGAGGGGAGGGGAGGGGATGTTTAGTTGGACGGACAGGGAATAGGGAGGGGTGGGATGGGACGGGATAATGATTTGGATAGGGCATGGGAGTACGGAGGCTGGGGCTGCTGGCGCGCACCAGTCACATCCACCACCACGCCTCCGCGAAACAGGTGGATTAGAATGCTTCTTAGCTGACTAGTGCTGGCAAGGTGCCCGTAAGCTATTTGGGGGTGCGCCTCTCATTGGCGCCTGCCCCCACTGAACCTCCCCACTCAGCGTTGCTGCTGGGCACCTTTCTCGGCATCCATGCGGCTTCAAGGCGGGCACAGAGCGACCCACTGAGTGTTTCTGCCCGGCACCCTTCTCGGCATCCAGGCGGCTCCAAGACGGCCACACACCGCCACAGGATGGCTGCAGGATGCCCCAGGGACCAGTGCGAGACGACCATGCGACCCTCCTGGGCTCCAAGACGTCCCCAAAGAACCCCATGGAAGCCCCGAAGAGGTGCCCAGAGCGACCTCCAGCGAAGGCCTGAGGGAGACGAAAAAGCAGCGAACAACTTACTGAATGCGTTCCCTGTGCCAGGCCCTCCAGCATCAGACAGGCCCGGCAAAGCCTCAGAACGTTCCTCCAAGAAAGAATCCTCTAGCACGGCCCGAAGAGAGCCTGAAAATGGCTTCAAGACCCGCCCAGACCTCCCCAAGAAAGTTCAAACGAACTCTCTTTTGGAGAGCTCGCCCAATACAGATATGAGACCCCCGGCGAACCCCCAACGGACCCCCTGCAGACTCCCAAGCGGGCCCCAAGAGTGACCGAAGAAGCTATCAAGAAGCCTCCAACACGAATGAGGAGGGGAAGACTGAAGCTGCGGACAGTCGGGGGGTTGTCAAGACCCCCGCTGCATCAGAGAGGACACTGAAGCGGAACGGGTCTGAAACTCAGCATATTTCGTGTTGCGCTGCTGCGCTGGCGCGGTGGTAGAGCTTGCCGCAGGCAGCAAGGCATACGCACTACAGAAGACGTCCATGGACAACTCGCTCCGCACGAAGAAAATAATCAAAACATCTGTCGCTGCCACGCTGGAGCCGAGAATACCTCGCAAAGCCCTGACCTCTGAGATCAATCGGGCGGCCCAGCATAGGGAGGGTGGGGCGTGCCAGGGCTGGTGCCTCTAATCAACCATGTACATCTCGGCAAAAGGCTTCGTCGCTCAAGTGTTCAAAGTGGCAGCACGACAGTCGTGCACACATTTCAACAATATGTAAGTCGTCACAGGAACTCGCCAGACAGAGCGGTCCTCCTCATTGATTTTCGCAATGCGTTCAATAGCGTGCAGCGGTCTGTTTTCTTGGACGAGGTCGGCAGGCACATGCCAGGCTTGGAGGCTTGGGTTCGGTGGTGTTACGGTGGCCCATCGGACCTGCTGTTTGGCAGCCACGTGCTGACGTCCAGCAGGGGAGTCCAGCAGGGCGACGCCCTTGGACCTCTCCTGTTCTCGTTGGCTGTTCATCCTCTCTTGCAGGAGCTGAAGACCGATGCTGGGTTGGACATAATATGCGGCTACCTCGACGACTTTTGCGTGGCGGGCGAGTTCGGCGCGACGCTGCGGTTGCGGCTGATTCAGCGGAAAGCAGCAAGCCTGGGCCCTGAGCTGAACTTGGACAAATGCGAGGTAATCCCCACGGCTGGGCGCAATACGGAGTGCAACCTGTCCGAGTTCCCCGCAAGTGTCCAGCGGAGTATCGACGGTTGCTTCAAATTGCTCGGCGCCCCTGTCGGTGGCCAAGAGCATTGCGCAGAGTACGTGAAGGTGAAGAGAGTGCAGAAGCTGACCGCGATGCTCGACGAGGTGCCATTATTGGAGGACGCCCAGGTCGCCCACAAGTTGCTGTCTCGATGTTTCGGCGCCTCAAGGCTTATGCATAATATGCGGACTACGCGGCCTGACTGGATAACACATGGTCTAGAACAGAGCCAGCGGGCTCTCAGGTCGACATTCCAGACCTGCACAGGCACGGCGCTAAACGAGAGCCAGTGGCAGCAGGCGTCCCTGCCCTTGAGCAAGGGAGGACTGGGATTTCGGTCTGGAAGTTACCACGCTGCCGCGGCTTACCTTTCCTCCCGCACGGCGACGCGACACCTATGCGGTCAGATCGACGCTGCCTTCTCGTGGGGCGGGGCCTGTGATGGCGGCGCCCTGACAGCAGCAGCCGACCTCTATAATGGGGGCGTCCTGCAGGAGCACCGCATCACGAGCGAGCATTTGGCTGCCGAGGACTCCTTCCCCAGCCAGCGGTCTTTGTCAATGCACGCGGACGAAAGATTCCTGGACCAGCTGATCGCGGCAAGCCCAGACGCGCACAAGGCGAGGCTCCTTGCGACCAGCGCGCCGCACGCGAGCGCATGGCTGCAGGCCCAACCGTGTAGCGCCCTCGGGCAGCGCATGTCCCACTTCGAGTTTGTGGCGGCTTTGCGTTTGTGGCTGGGGTGCCATGCCTCTAGCAGGGACGACTGGTGCCCGAAGTGCGACCAGGTGATGGACGCGCAGGGCCTGCACTCCCTCAGTTGCATGGCGGGTGGTGACGCGGTCAAGGTACACAACGCCTTGCGCGATCAGGTCCACTCCTTTGCGCACGCAGCGGGCCTCCGTGCCGAAAAGGAGGAGAACGGGCTGCTGCCAGACGACCCCCGCCGGCGGCCCGGGGACATCCATTTCCCGACCTGGCCGCTCGGCCCGCCCCTGGCTCTCGATTTTGCTGTCACGTCGCCTCTCAGACAGTCAGCGGTGCAAGGGGCAGCCGCCAAACAGCTTAGCGCGGCCACGTCATACGAAGGGGCAAAGCTTGCAGACAGAGATACTGGCGCGCGCTGTGAGCAACTGGGCATCCGCCTAGTCCCCATGGTCGTGGAATCCTTCGGCGGGCGGGGCGAGATGGCGCAAGACGTGTTCCGGACCCTGATTCATGCCCGTGCAGCGCGCAGTGGCGAGACGGTGAGCAATGTCACCACTTCCTTATATTCTGGCCTTAGCATCACTCTGATGCGTGCGAACGCACGCGCTTTGCTGGCCAGGATCCCTCAGGAAGTCGGCGTCCATGCTGACCACGTCGGCCGCGCGGCGACCTTGCTGCAGGCGGGGCGCCAAGACGAGGCCGATGCCCAGATAGTATGAGGGATTGGTGGCCCCACTCGTTTTTCCGCCGTCTCCTGCTGCCCGTTGTGATTTTCCCCCCACTGCAAGCCTTGACGGTGGCATTTTCCGTTTTTGTTGGCGCCCGGTAGCGCCATTTGGCCCGCTTCCTTTCTTGCCTTGGCCCCGGCCCTCTCTCTCTCTTCGCTTCCCTCTCCTCCTTCCCTCCCCTTTCTCCTCCCCCTCTCCGTGTCCTCCCTCCCCCCTTGCCCTTGTGTTTCCTTGCCCTTGTGTCTTGCGTGCTCTCCCTCCGTCTCCTCGCTCGGTTTCTCTTCCTTTCCCCGTCTCCTCGTCTGTCCGCCCGTCGGCCTGGTCTGCCCTGTCCTGTCGTCCTCCCTCGCCCCCTCCCCCTCTCGCTCCTCGGCTCCTCGCTTTCCCGTCGGCCCCGGTTCCTTGCCTTGCCCGCGTTCTCTTTGTCGGCATGTCCTGTTGTCCGAACAAGAGAGCGTTGTTTTTCCCGCCGGGTGCTGTCGAGCACACCTGGGGTTGGAGACACTGTGCTGTGCACACGCCGCGTTCCTTTCCGTGGAGCACGATGACTGCTTCTGGGATAATTTTCTGAAGTATAGCTTGTGCATATGTCAAACATGTAATCGGCATGATCCGGATGTTCTCGATGCATGCGGTCATGTACTTAGCGTGCCGCGGCGGCGGACCCATGTGATTTTGAAGCCTGACAGAGTGTCGCCCATGAGAACATATTCGAAACTAAGAAACACGCATGTCGCACAGTAGCAATCGAAATACTGATAACGTGGCGCGCCGAAGTGTGGTGGCTCAGAACTGGCGGCGCGACACACTGAAAGACAAGTATTAGGCGTAGATCGAAACCGGCATTGCCCGTCTCGAGCTCAACCACATGTAGCTCCTGCACTTCATCGTGCTCGCACGTTTCTTCCTCCTCTGCCTCCCCGTCATTGCTCGTCGTACCCATCATCATCCATCCGCATCTTCCTCTCCATCCTCCTACTTTCCCCTGCTCGTTCATCCTTCTTCCGTCCTCACCCCTTCCTCACCTCACCTCCCTTCTCCCGCCTGCTCTGTACAGCTCTCCATAATCATTCCCTTCTCCTCCCTTCATCATCCACCACCCCTCCCCCGTGCGTACGCCAATACCTAGCGGGAGAAGAAAAAACGGCATTCACGAAAACTGTTGGAGCTCCGTGCGGGCTTCGTGGATTGGCGCTGGACTCCCTCCGTTGCGCTAGTCGTCGCCGGGGGGGGGGGCTTTGCCTAGCCCAGAAACCCGCGCGGAACTCCAAATATTATGTTTCTTCAAAATGTGATTACTATATTCTCCCGTCTGCGCCTCCCTCACTCCTCCTCTTCATCCTCCCTCATCCCAAGTCCATGAACCTGCCCCCTGCTCATCATCTTCATCGTCGCGGTCCTGCTCCTCCGACGCGTCGCTCCCTTCCGCCTCCTCGTCCGCCTGCCTGCTTCCCTCTCCGCTCCTATTCTCCTTGCCCCGCCGACCTCTGCAACATCTCCACCCGATTCGACGTCTTGCCTTCCTTCCTTCCCCATCTCTTCCAACCTCCTCCACGCCCGACTCCTCTGTTTTAAAGACCCCCGACGTCGTGATCTGCTCGTGACGTGGACTCCCAAAGGTCTGGATCCGCTCCCCGGGGCCAGGTTTGCATCCTGAGACATGGTTCAGCGGTCCTGGGGCGGGGGCCCTGCGAGGGCCCGCGGAACCGGAAATTTGCGAAAATCCACCGTCGTGATTTGTGTCACGGCTCGAGAGGGTCTGGGCTCCCACCCTCCCCAGCCCGAACGCACCGCGCGCCTGCGCCCAGTTCTGCACGTGGGGGCTGTGGCGGATGGACCTGCGAGAAAGGAGCACAACGGCCCCGCGCTTCCTCGGCAGCGGCGGGCGGGAGGGAAGAGAGGGGCGAGGAGGGGGACGAGCGGCAGTACCCATCGGTCCTAAAAAGTGCCTAGAAGCATGGAATAGGAAGGCGTCGTCCGCCCCCCAAAGCGGGAGGAAAAGGAAACAAAACACTCGATGATTGTAAAGTAGATATCGGAGTCATTGAATCGTACCTGCTGTCGGCGACAGGTGGCTTCGCGAAAAGGGATCGGATGGGAAACGGACCCAGCTAGCGCTTATAAGCCGGCACGGAAACGAATGGGGATCGTACATCGCTTGGGATAGCTGATCTCGGGCTCTGCCCCCTCAAAGCCAGAGAGGCAATCAGTTCGTCATGCCGGGTCGAGAGTCTAGATCTGCAGGGAAAGGAAACGGGGACCATGAACAAGACTGGATATGGAAACGCGGGTGCCGATCGTGGTCACCGTCCATCTTGGTACAACCGTCGATTCGTGGATCATTCTCGCAAGTCGGCGACGGCCGGCATGGACCATGAGCAAGGTCGGCGTCGACAAGATCCCACGACAGCTTGGTCGTGGTCAGCGTGTTTCCCCCCTCGAAGATCGGAATCGGCGTTTTGGGATCGGACCAGATCAGGTCGAGCCGTGAGCAGCCCTGCCTCGGGGGCACCGTCTCACGACGCTCAGACGACGCGCACGCCGCAGCGAACTGTATGAGGCCGTGCTGCGCTCGGCAGGGGAAAGAAGGCTCGAGCAATATTGTGGCTCTTTAGCTCGAGTGGCTTTTAGTACCTCACTGTCGGGATACACCAGGGGGGGAATGAGCTGGGCTGGGCTGGGAATTGCCTAAGGAGGTAGCGTCGTACAGTCAGGCTGCCGAGACAAGCAGCGCTGAACAGGGAACGAAGCCCCTTTCTGGTCCCCCAAAGCGCCTGTGTGGACGAGGAGCGCCAGAGAAACAGCCATGGAAGGACCTAGAGAACAGCGAGCCCCTTCCGAACCCGAGCCGCTCCTTACTTCAGCGACTTGGCCGTACTGGTCGAAGCACTACGTCTTGACACAGTTCCCCCACTTCGCTCGACGATGAGAAGCAGGAACCGCTTGCTGTGCGGGCCCGTGCGGCGCGCGGCCTCGCTGTGTGCGTGCTCGAACGGGACGCCGGGCCAGGTGGGCGGCGCCTGGGACCTCACGAGGATCCACCGTCTTGCGCCACCACCGGGCATGGCTCCCGAAGCTGCGAGAGGTCGGGGCCGCGCCTCCCCGCAGCGGGGGGAGGAGGAGGAGGAGGAGGAGGAGGAGGAGGAGGAGGAGGAGGAGGAGGAGGAGGAGGAGGAGGAGGAGGAGGAGGAGGAGGAGGAGGAGGAGAGAGGAGGAGGAGGAGGAGGAGGAGGAGGAGAGAGGAGATGGATGGAGCAGGGTGCGAAGGAGAAGGAGGAGAGAGGAGGGAGGAGAGAGGAGGGAGGAGAGAGGAGAAGGAGAAGAGAGGAGGAGCAGGAAGAGGAGAAGGAGGAGGAGGAGGAGAAGGAGGAGGGAGGAGAGAGAGAGAAGGAGAAGGAGGAGAGAGGAGGAGGAGGAGGATGAGGAGGAGGAGGATGAGGAGGAGGAGGAGAGAGGAGGGAGGAGGTGAGCGGGTGCAGGAACAGCAGCCCTGCCCCCTGCCTGGAACGCGCCTGCAGCAAAGGGCCCAGAGGCGGGAAAGAATGCCAGAGGCTGACCCGCCAGCAGAGCGGATCGGCGGATGGCAAAGTCTTCGAGTCCCAGCTGGAGGCGGGGTCGGGCCAGGTGAGGCCCAGAACGGCGAGGAGGTTCCATGCGAACGCCCATCGTGCAAACTGCATGACTTAAGCGCGACACCAGCATGCATCATACGTGGGGCGGCGGTAGCGTTGCCACACGTACCAAATTCCGAATCCCAGAAGCGGGAACAGGTCCCGTGTGTGAGCCATATCCCGCGAAACCAGAATGCCGATAGAGACAACACTGCAATTTTGGGAAATGGGGGCGTACCAAAACGGGCAACGTCTAAATTCTGCTGAGAAAAAATCGCCGATACCACACCTTGAGGATCCCCTGCTACCATGGCGCACCGAACTGGCCACCAGAGCGGTAGCACGAGAAAAAGTGGATGTTCCAGAATCCATGCTTGCAGTGAGAGGGACTCAGCGGAAATCGAAGGATTAGGCGAACATGGCGAACCAACGTCGGCAGTCGGTGAGGATCCTGGGTGTCACAAAATGAAAAATAGGAGCATCTCGGGAGGGCGAATGAACGTGGGCCCCCTGGGATCTCGACCCTTTCCATGAGGCCCGAGTCGTCTCTCTGACGGCCCTGGGGGGCGAGGATCGCTTGGCTTCCCAAAGCCGACGCGGACAAACAATTGGCCTCAAGGACCTCTCTTGCGCCGCCCAGATCAGAGCGTCCCCCCCCCCTCCATCCCTCGGGGCTTGCCAGAGGCGTCCTTGCCCCCCCCCCCCCCTCCCCCCCAAAGACCATGATCATCCTTTTGGTGTTGCCAGAGGTGTCCCTGTCCCAAGGTGTCCCCAGCTTTTCGTGCTGATTTGAGAAACTGGGGCCATATGGGCCTCGTGAGGGGTGCTCTGGCAAAATCAATCAAAATCGAATCGGGAAGCCCGATCGGATCGGATCGTGGTTCGGTCCAGACCGCATCGCCAGGACGGGCAACGACGCCGTGCAACCAAACATTGGGCCGCACCAAACCGTCGGGAGATCGGAATCGAACCGGATTGGGCCCGTCGAAATCGATGTCGAGACGGACCGACATTAACCCTGTCTGGAGGCCGTGGGGGGCCTTCCCGAAGTCCTGGAGTGGTCGCGCGGCGCGGGGGTGGGGTGCTGGTGGACTCCCTGATCTGAAGAGCTGGTGGGGCGCAGCTGCTGGCGAGGAACGTCGCGGCAACAAAACCGCTGGGGGCTAGTGAATGAAAGCCGTGGGCGATGAGGAGGTGGAGGGGGAGGGGGAGGGGGAGGGGGGGGGAAGGGGGAGGGGGAGGGAAGGGGGAGGAGGAGGAGGAGGAGGAGGAGGGAGGAGGGAGGAGGAGGAGGAGGAGGAGGAGGAAGAGGAGGCGCGGGGCTCCTGCTGTCGCTCAGGTAGGCGGGGGAGCCTCGGCGGGCCGTCTCCCCTGCACCCCTCCGCCTGCTTCGCTCCGAGCGGCGGCCGGTCCCTCGGGGCTGCTCTGTTGCAGGCCAGGTCTCCCTCGCTCTCCTGTGGGTCGGGCTCCTCCTCCGCCTTCTCCTCCCTCCCTCCTCCTCCTCCTGCTCCTCCTCCTCCTCCTCCTCCTCCTCCTCCTCCTCTTCCTCCTGCTCCTCCTCCTCCTCCTCCTCAGCCTCCTCCATCTGATCCCTCCTGTTCGCGTCTCCTTCTTCCGCCTCCTCCGCCTCATCTCTCTCCATGATCCGCCATCCACCTCCTCCCCCTCCTCCTCCTCCGCACCATCGGCGTCGTGAGCGGCGGCCCAGGGACGGGCACGCGGTCCACAGACGACCGTCCACACTGGTGGGGCAAATTCTGGGGGGCGTTCATGCCGAGCGACATCACTATCCACAAGACCTTGGCTCATGCGACGCAGGCCGACGTGGACGGAGGCCAGACTACCCCCATGGAGAAACGAGCGAACGGCAAGGCCGACGAGCTCGCCAAAGCGGGGGCAGCATTGCATGGCGTCACGGCCGCTGCTGCTCACCTCTGGGCCGGCCTGGCGGACATCGCGGTCGAGGCGGGCCGTTGGGCGGGTCAACTGCACAGCCTTGTCGCCGACCAGGGACCGCCAGACCGGGAGGACGTCTTGGGCAAGCATCCCGAGGAGGGATGCGCGGATGCGAATGCTGGGGGAGCAGCGGATGCTGGCGTGAGCCTTTCAGCCAGTGATGCCGCAGAGGCGCGGCCTCACCGCTCCCATCCTCGTCCTCCTCCTCCTCCTCCTCCTCCTTTCGAGCTCTACGTTGAGTGGGCCCCAGCGTGGCGGGACTATGAGCCTGTCGCGTTTCGGGCCCGGGGCCATGCTTTGCTGAGTGCCGACATTCAGGGGAAAAGCGGAATGCGGCTTATTTTTTGTTACCGTTGTGGGGCTTATTTTGGGGGCCGGTCCCCAGGCAAATGCATGCTTTCAGATTGCAAGGGCTCGCGGAGCGGCCCGAAGCTGCGCGAACAGTTGTCTAAGCTGACGGCGGGTGACCATCCCCATTATCGCAAGACCACGCGGGGGCTGAGACTGGCGCCGCCGGATGGCGTGCCTATGGACGAGCGCCTCCGTTTGCAAGCCGTCTTTTCGACTGCCGCCCCTCCAGCGCCAACCTGTGCCCGCGCTGGCGAAGAACGCCCAGCGGCGCCAGCGCTGTCCCAGCGGGAGGTCGTGCTCCGCTCTTTCGGCATAGCTGAATCCGACCTGCCTGCGGTGCGCGTGCGCGGCCTGAGGGTGACCGCCAGGGCCCGTGCAGCAAGCGACTCCGGCTTCTCATCGGAAAGCGATGTGGAAGACTGGGAGTGGTAGTGCTTCTAGCGGCGTGCCGCTGCCTTTTAGGCCGTTCCCAACCTAACCCAACCCTCCTCCTCCTCCTCCTCCTCCTCCTCTTCCTCCTCCTCCTCCTCCTCCTGCTCCTCCTGCTCCTGCTCCGGCTCCTCCTCGTTCCCGTTCCTTCCCTGCCTTCCTACTCCTTCTCCTCATGCTACGACTCCCCTCCTGCTCCCGCTCCAGCTTCCGATGCTGTCTGACCTCTTCCTCCTCCTCCTCCTCCTCCTCCTCCTCCTCCTCCTCCTCCTCCTCCTCCTCTACAGTTACACAATATGAATACTACTGTACTCTCCTCTGTCCCCTGACTCTGTCGGGAGAGTGCCCCCGTCCTCTCCGCGACTGTTTTCGCTCACGCAAAATTTCAACAATTGTTTGTTCTACGTGTTTGTCAATCCGGTCGTTTCTGGTTCTTCCAAAATGGTATTCCCGCTGCAGCGCCGCCCTCATTTCCGCGCTTCGGTCAATCAAGATCGTGCTCCCGATGCAGCGCTGGCCTCGTTCCCGCGCCTCCTGTTGTTCCAAATCGTGTTCCCGCAGCAGCATTGGCGTGCTCGGTCCTTCCAAATAGCGCTGTCGCTGTAGCGCTGGCCTCGTTCCAGTGCTGCGGCCCCTCCAAATCGTGCTTCCGCTGCAGCGGTGGCCGCATTCCCGTGTTCGGCCCTGGCCTCGCTCCCGCACTCCAGCCCTTCTACATCGTGCTCCCGCTGCAGCGTTGGTCCATTTCCGACTGTGCGACTGGATAGGAGATCTACGCCGTGGTACCTCAGATGTGACGCTAGCGCACCTAGCTTGTCCTGCTTCTCCTTCCCCTCCTCCTCCGCCTCCTCCTCCTCCTCTTCCCCAAAGCCTCCTGCTCCTCCCCCTTCCTCTCCCCTTCCCCTGCTCCCGACCTGCACCCCCCCTTCCGACCTCCTGCTGCTGCGGGGCGGTGGGGAGGAGGGGAGCACGGCAGCGTCGTCACCGAGGCCATCGCGGCGAAGTGGAACGGCAATGCAGGCACTTGCCCGCACTGCGGGCTCGCCCTCGAGGACCTTGAGCATCGCCTGTGGCTGTGCCCTGCCTGGGAGGGCCCCCGCCGCGCCGCGCTGGCCGCAGCGCCGCGGACCGAGACGCTGCCCAGTGACGCCGGGGCTCTGCGGCAGCTGCTGCCGGCCGGGGTCGCCTCCACTGGAGTCCTCGCGCCGCCGCCGTTGCTCGCCGCCCTTGCAGAGGCAGCAGGGAGCGAGTGCCCGCAGCTTCCACCCCAGGCCGCGCGGCTCCCTGAGGCGCCCCGCCGGACGGGGCCTGCCTCCACCCTACTGACCCGCTGCTGGCGCGCGCGGCATGGGGCCTGCGGTGCGAGGGCCTCGAGGACCCGAATCTCGCCGGACCGGTCGACGGTCTGCAGACGGCACAGCGGGCCGAGGTGATAGCTGCCGTGGAGGCGGCCCGTACGTCGGGGGCCCCGTCGACCTCGCTACAGACAGCCAGTACGTCGTGCGGTCTTGCGCCCAGAACGTAGCTGGCTCCGACGTGCGTGACTGGGAGCACGCCGACTTGTGGCTGCAGCTGGCGGACGCCGTGCGCTCCGGGCGGCTGCGAGCCCGCTGGGTCCCAGCCCACAAGACGCCGGTTGAGGCGCGGCGCTTGGGCCTGAGCGAGCGCGACCGCCTCGGCAACGCCGCGGCTGACAGCAACGCCGGCGCCGCCGCGGCGCAGCGGGCCGTGCCAGGCGAGCTGGTGCGCGGCCGCCTCAGGGAGCTGGAACTGCTGGAAGCGGCGCAGCGGGTGCAAGCGGCTGCCCAGCAAGCGGCCTTGGCCGCCGCGCCAGCGCGCCAGCGCCGCGGCCGGCGTATCTGGCGGGCTGTCCGCCGCGGGGCTCGCACTCGCGCGGCGTCCGCCCCAGCGGGTCCCGCCCTGCCCGGCCACGCCCGCGCGGCTCCGCCGGCTGCCCGGCCGCGCCGGAGTGGCAGCGCCGAGCCCGTCAGCGCTGGCGCCATGCTGGCGGCATTCTTCTCGGGGCGCTCGTGGCGGCCGCACTCCCTCGCACAAAGTCCCGGATCCGTTTGTTGCCTTCGCTGCGGTGGCAGCGCCGGGACCGCGGCGGCCATGCTGGGAGGCGCGTGTCCAGGCTGGCAGGACCGGCTGCCAGCGCGGGGGCAGGCACTGTTGCTCCTCGGCAACCTGTGCTGCGTTGGGGGCAACGCAGCTGAATTCGCTGCCTTAGCTGCGCGCCGCATCGCGCAGCTGCCCAAGGTGCCCGATTAGGTCGGCACCGTACTGGGGCGCCGGCGGCCGCGCCGTTTCGCCCTCTGTCCGCGAGCAAAAAAAAGGGGGGGAGGGGAGGGGGAGTCCCCTTCCCCCCGCGGAGCCCCTTAGAGCCTCGTGCGTGTCTTGGACAAGCCGCGTAGCTTTCACCGCGGAGCTTGACGGGATTGATTTGCAAGACAATGCCTCTCTAGCCTTGCAGCCCGTGCCATGCCGCGATGCGCGACCGCGCCACGTGCATTGTTTTACTGGCGGATCTGCGCCGCAAGGTACGGACGCTTGTTGCAGCTGGGCTGCCGCAGCAGTCGCTGAGGATGCGGCGGAATTATCCTTCTTGGGTTGTCTGATGGGTCAGGCTTCCGTCACCCTTCCAGGAGGCCTTGCTAGAGGGCCCCCGTTCTAATACCTTCTCGGAGCGTGTTGGACTCCGGTGGGCTCGTGTTGCGGCCTTTAGGCTCCTTCCGGAGGTCCAAGTCACCCTTGTCACGGATATTAAGGTGGAGAGGGGCCTCACCACTGGGGTCTATCGGGGGCCTGCTCACCCTAGTCCTGCCTCCCCGATCGTGCCGCCCACCGCGCACCCCCTCCCCCACCAAGAAGAGGGGGACGGGGGAGCAGGGGACAGGAGGAGGAGGAGGAGAAGGAGGATGAGGAGGAGGATGTGGCAGCGGAGCAGGACGAGGGGGACGGGGGCCGAGGAGCAACAGGAGGAGACGCGGAAGGGGCGGGGGAGCGACAGAAAGAGGGCCAGGGTCAGGATCCAGGGCGGGAGCAAACAAATGACCGCCCCCCTTCCTGACCCCCCCCGTTGCACACTCTTCCATTCCGCACACTGTTGGCGGGTGGCGGTCCAAGAAGACAGGAGGCAACGGGCCTCTTGGAAGCCCTCTCGGCTGCGATGTAGCCTTCTCCGAGATTTCAAGGCTCTGCAGCCGCCTTCTGAAAAGGCCCCCCCCCTTCCGCCACGCCCTCATCCGCGCCGCCACTCCCGCCCTCCCCACCATCCCCCCGTTTCCGATCCTCCTCCCCCTCTTCCTCGATCCCCCCCTCCTCCGCCTCCTCCGCCTCCTCCTCCTCCTCCTCCTCCTTCTCCTCCTCCTCCTCCTCCTCCTCCGCCTCCTCCTCCTCTATCCTCAACATAGATCCTCGATCCTCCCCCCTGGATCCTGCACGTAGATCATCGATCCTCCGCGATCCTCCTCCTCGATCCTGGAATATTGGTCCCCATCTGCCTCAGGTCGCCTGGAGCTCAGCCTCGCCGAGGCTGCCATGTCCCTGCACGCACGCCGTCCCCGCCGCCCGACCGTTTTACGGGCCCGGTCGCCCATCGCAGCAGGTTACGCACCCGTCCTGGTCAAGCCGGGTTGGCGTACACGCCGATCCTGGGCCAGGACTGGGGTAGGTATGCACCTGTGGCATGTGGCAAGCGGGTCCTGAGGAGAGCAGGGCCTGCGCCTCAGGAGCAGCTTTTCGTCCGGAGGCGTTCTGCTGACCGGGAGGCCAGGAGCTGCTGAACAAAACCTCAGGAGCCCTTTCCCTTGTGGCGAAGAGCCAGCGCTCTCCATCCACCATCCATCCAGTCCTGCACGGGACGCCAAAAGAGGAGCCAAGGGGACCCTTCTGGCCAAGGCGAGCCTCGGGACACGAATCGGTTACCCGATTCAGATCTGACGGAACGGACCGCAAACCTGGGAGAACCAAAACCGCATTTCGGAGGTCTGCGCGAATTTCTTGGATCGGCGCTGGACCCGGGTCAGGGGCGGCGCTGGAGAAGCCGCAAGGGGCCTGGCGCCAGTCCCAGAAACCAGCGCGAACTTCCGACGGTGCATGTTTATGCCACATTTGTCTTCTCAGATCCCAGACCCCCTCGGGCAATGAAAAAATCATGACGGGAGGTTTTTGCTATTTTCGGCCTCTGGGGGACCTACCGGCCCTGGGCACCGTCGAAAAACAGTCCAGGATGAAAAACCGGTCCAGGGGAATGGGTCGAGACCTCCAGGGATCGACGCAATGAAATCATGACGTCGGGGGTCTGGGATCTGAGGGAACGGACCACAAACCAGAGCCCCTCCTGAACCCAAAGCGGTCCCTACCCAAAACCTGCGGCGTCGTGATGTGTTCAAAACGCGAAGCTGCAGGCGTGCGGGCTCATCCCCTGGCCCGAGTCGTCGCTTGACAGCCCCATGGCCCAGATCCCAGCAAGGGCCCCGTGGGGGCTGAAAACTGGCAAACGTCTTTCTTTGTGAGACTTGACACGACTCGAGGGGTCTGGGACGGCCCACAGACTGGGGGGACAAACAAACCGACACCACCTCTCTCACCGGACCTCTCTCAGGGACCAGACTTTCGAGACGAGTCCAGCCGTAGAAGCGAGGGCTCTGCAGGACGAGCAGTGGTACGGTCGGGAACTGTTGCTTGGCGTGGTGGGCCAGAACCGGCGGAGCGACACGCTGTCCAAAAGCTCCTCCCCTGAATATCTGAGGGAACGGACACACACCAAAGCCGCTGGTGAGCCTAGCGAAGACCCCCACTTCCGCGCGCTGACTGCGGCCCCGCCGGTGACCGCGGAGGTGCCCGAGGGTCGGGCAGTGCCCCAAGAGGCAGAAAATGTGCAAACACCTCCCGTCTTTTTTCTTTCACCACTCGAGGAGGTCCAGGCACAAACCAGAGCCTCTCCTGAGCCCAACGGGGGCCCCTACGTCTACGTCAGCGAGCCATAGCTGGCCCGATACGCAACACACAACCCATGGCGTGTTACACGGAACTCAACACTGACAGTGTAGGTCTGGCGGGATACGTTCGAAAAAAAGGCCAACACGTGCCGAGCCAACACGCAACATGTTCAACCCGGACGCTCTGAACACGGCACGCGTTGCGTTCCAACACGGGCGTACCGGGGCAGCCAAGAGGCCCCTACTTCAGCGTCCTGCCCGCGGCCCCGCCGGCCGCGAAGTGGGGGGCCCGAGGGCCGGGCCGATCTCCTCCGGCTCCTGGCTGGGCGCTCGGGGAAACGTCTGCTCCGCCCGCTCCGCCCCGGATCCGATCCGCGGCCCTCCTGCTCCTTCTCCTCCTCCTCCTCCTAAATCTCCTTCTCCTCCTCCGCCTCCTCATCCTCCTCCTCATTTTCCTCCTTCTCATCCTCCTCCTCTCGCCAACCTCCATCCCTTTCCCATTTGAATAACTCCTCCCTGTCGCAGCCCGCGACGTGTCGGTAGGACGGGCTGGGCGTTTCGCCTGAGACATCCTCACTCACCATTTCTGATCCTGAGGCCTGAAAGTCCCAACAATTTCACGCATAGAGGGTGGGCGGTTTTCAAGATGTGGCTCTCGCATGAGCGACTCGCACATTTGCCTTTCAAGGTTGCAAGAGCTTCACAGATGGAGGGCGGGCGGTTTCTCGAATGAGGTCCTCGCCTCAGCGCCGCGCAAATTCTTCCTAAACGTTAGCAAAAATGTAACAAATGGAGGGCGTGCGGTTTCCATAATGCGGCTATCGCCGTAGCACTGCGCACATTCGTCTTAAGAGTTCACAACACTGTCAATGATTCTTATTGCTGGCGTCCCAGAACAGGTGTTTTGGCACGACGAGGGTCACACAGGATGCAAAAACCACGTAGGTTCGCGGCGTTGCAATCCAAAGAATATCTGGCACGAATCCGGATCGCCCGAACGCAACAGTAACGCTGATTCGCGGCGTTGAAGTCCCAGGAATGGTTCTTGGGCGCCGTCCAGGATTTTCAGACGGTTGTCCTCCAACGGGGTACTTCCCTCAGTAAGAGATAGCCGTGTAGGAGCCTGTGAAGAGGGAACTTGGAAGGAAGGTGCATTGCAACATCGTTGGTGAATATTGGATTTACACTGGCCCTCCTCCTCCTCCTCCTCCTCCTCCTCCTCCTCCTCCCCTTTTGCGTTCTCATGCTTCTCCTCTCCTTCCTCCTCCTCCTCCTCCTCCTCCTCCTCCTCCTCCTCCTCCTCCTCCTCCCTCCTTATCCTCCCTATCCTTCTCATCCCTCAATTGCCGTAATTGCTCAAGGAAGCTTGCTCACGGGAAGAAATCGCACGGCGCGCGCCTGCTGGCTGAGGCGCTCGGGCGCGCGCGAGCGGCTGGGATGGATGTCTGGGCGTGGGCGGCTGCCAGCGCGCGGACACTGGCCCAGAGGCTTCCCCGTGAAAGGCGAGCTGCGCTGGACGGCACTTGCGCGGAGGCGCCGCCGCTCAGGCTCGAGTGCGTGCGCAGGGCGCTGGCCGAGCACCAGGCCTTGGAGGATCGCATCGGCTGCCACTTCCCGACGATGGGGAAGGCGATGGTTGCAGCCTGCATGATGGGCTGATCACCAGAGCAGCTGCAGTTCTACGGTCGGGAACTTCTGCATAGCGTGTCGCCCCGGCGGCCCTGGCGCATAGCGGTCGCCCCGCCAGCCTTGCAGCCGAATAGCGTGTCGCTCCGCTCCGCGGGGCGGCAGGTCGGAAAGGCTCGGGACGTTGACGCTGGAGGACCGGGAAGTGGATAGCGTACCGCGCCGAGGCGTGGTGGGCCAGAACCGGCGGAGCGACACGCTATCCAAAACTTCCCGACCGTACTGCGTCGAGGCGATGGAGTCTGGCAAATCCCACCAGCCCTTTATGGCGTGAGTTGTTTAGCTGGTTTTCTCTTCCACCCCCCTTCTCTCCCTTCGGGGAGGGGCTTATCCCTCCCCCTAGGTCGCAGCGCTAATTGACCCCCCCGCTTCGTTGATCGATCACCTCCAAGATGGCCCACAAGGCTCAAGAGAGCCCCAAGAGGCGCCCAGGACGCCCCACGATGCCTCAAAGATACCCCTAAGATGTCCGCAAGAGGCTCCAAAGAGACCCCCAAGAGGCCCGCCCCAAGAGGCCTCCGAGGCACCCGAGACGCTTCAAGGGCTCCCCAGGGCCGCCAAGAGGCTCCCAAGACGCCCCAACAGGCCTATCATAAGCTCTCGAGACACCCGAAGAGACTGCGAGAAAAAATCCAGGAGGCCTTGCCCTTTTCCTCTTCCTCTTCTTCTTCCTCATCCGCATGATCCTCCACCTCCCTCCTACCCTCTCGCTCCTCCCTCCTCATCCTCCCCCTCCTCCTCCTACACCTCCTCATCTGGTTCGTCCTCCATCCTCCCGCTACGGTTTCCCATCATTTCTTCCACTGAGAGCCCCCCCACATGCCTGATCAGGGCAACTCGCCTGGACATCGTTTCTGCATGGGCTGGTGGGGTTCTGTGAAGCGTCTAGAACTGTCGCGGCGTGCGCCGCCGCCCTTCGCTGCCAGCCTGCATCGACTGCCTGCCGCGCCGCTGCGCTGGCTGCCGCGCTGGCGGCCCTGCTTGGAAGCAAGACCCCGCCGCTCAGCGCCGCGGCCCCCCTGGCTTCCTGTCCCGCGGCGCTGGCGGGGCGCAGGCGAGCGGGAACGAGCAGTTCAGGTGACCCGCGTGGAGAACGTGGAGGTCGGAGCGTCTCGGGGGGCGACTTCTTCTCCGCATCCATTGCTGCCATGGACGCATGCGGCCGACTTTGCCGAGGGGCAGCTCGACGGCTTGCAGGGCGGCCCGCGCCATGCTGTGGGCGGCCTCCTGAAAGAACGGGGTCGGGTGGGCCTTGCTTTCCTGGTGGTTTCCAGGTCGGCAAGCCTATACAGGCGAAAATGGACAGCAACACACTTGAAAGCATCAGGGGAATGGTGGGCGTGGAGAACATGGAGAATGTAGAGGATGAGGATGAGGAGGAGGAGGAGGAGAAGGAGGAGGAGGAGGAGGAGGAGAAGGAGGTTGTGGGCAAGCAGCAGGAGCTGGAGGGCTCAGACGAACCTGGCCTGTGCGCGGCTTTCGGCATGGATCCGGATGAGTCGCACGGGGTGGAGGCCAAGCAGCAACAGCAAGACCTGGTGGGCTCAGCCCACCCTTCGGCATGACGGCACCCCAGCTCTTCGACATCGGCTCGGGCACCGGCTCGGAAGGCGCGGAGGAGTCGGAACGGTCGCACGTGGTGAAACTCGGCACGCTGGAGTCCGCGTGATTCGAGGGGGCCGACGCGTGCCGAGACCGAGGAGACGCCTGAGGAGGCGCTGGCGCGGGCGTGACAGCCCAGGACAAGATGATGGATGGATGCGATGATGAGCCTGCTGGTACTGGCGCCGGTAAACGTCTGGTGGAGGCTGGTGGGCCCGAGCATCGTGCAGGAGCTGGTGGCTCTGCGGCACCTCGTGAGCAAGCAGGTCAGGCAGATGCGCCACTGGCAGGCGCTGGTGACGAGGGCTCGGGCGCGGAGCTCGAGGACGACGAGCGCCCGCTGTTCGCGCGGGTGCCGACGGCCCAGGCCGCCACCCCTAGCAATGTGCTACCGCGCTGGCCCGGGCGTCCGCGGAGGAAGAAAGGCGGACCACTGCGCCACCACCAAGGGGGGCGAGCCCTGAGGTGGTGGTCCAGTTCGGAAGGGCTCGGCCCACAGCTATGGCCAGGGGCCAAGCGGGAGGGGCCTGCCTCCCCTCTCGCTGGGGCCGCTCCATCCTCGCCCTCCAGCCGCGACTGCACGGCGTAACAGTAGACGTATGCGACGGGGGAGGGGGGGGAGGGGCGACGACGACGGGGGCAGGCCCAATCTGAAACACTCAGCCGCGGAGGGAGTAAAGGAAGCGGAGTCGTCGGCGGGCGCCGTGTGCCTGTCGCCTTCCCTCCCCTTCCCTGTGGCTTTGCCTGCTCGCAGCGCGCGAAGCTGCTCGGACGGCGCTGGGGCGCGACGATGCCCAGCGCCCTTGAGGGATGCGCGCCTGTGTGGCGGGGCGGGGCCATGCCGCATTCGGGGCTTCGGCTCCGAGTGCGGGGTGGGTGTCCTAAGTGGGTTTCTGGAAACAGTCCTCCTCCTTCTCCGCCTCCCCCGCCTCATCATCTTCTGAATAATTTGCATCATCATCATCATCAACACCACTATCACGATCCATCAAAATCGGCATGTCCTCGCCCTCCACCTCTTCTCGCATGACATACGCCACCTCATCCCCCTCTCTCGCGCTAGCCGCTATATTGAGCTCGAGACTGGTGTTGGATATATGAGTTTACGAACTTGACTGTGGATCCTGTACGTCTTAGCTGAGGCCTGGCTTGGTTTAAGACTTGAAATATGTAAATAAATAGCGAGCTTGTAATGTATGTCGACCTTGGCACTGGCGGTTGTTCTAGCCTCAACATTGGCGAACGATGGAAAGGCCTTGAGTAAGAACCTGCTTTACTTCACTTAGAATATGTCTTGAATTATGCTGCGAATGGTGGGCAACCTGTCTTCGGATCCAGCCCAATATCACGTGTAAAAGGTATGGCCCTCCATCTGGCTTGACCTGTACTTTCCAACCCGAAGAGGAGCTTCAATATTTTGCTGTATCACTGGGCGTCCGTACATGTCGTTCTAGCTGCACACTCATCAGCCATCGTGCCCCCCGGCGTGCTGCATGCACCGCCCAGCTTTCGCGAGGCTCCCTGAGCGGCCCGACGCCTCCCCGGGACTGCCCCCCGAACGCATGAAGGCTTCCAAGACGGCCGAGGGCGTCCGCCAAGGCGGCCAAGATGGCCCAACAACGCCTGAAGACGCGCCCGACAGCCTTTTTACGCAAGGGGCGCCCAACACATTCCAAGAGGCCTCGAACAAAAAGGCCTCAAGGCACCAAGACTGCCCCAAGACGGCTCGAGCGGCCCCCAAAACGAACCCCCAGAACTAACCTCAGGCGCCCCAAACGAGCTCAATGAGAACTGTCCAAGGACGACCCAAATAAGCCCAAAACGAAGGAGAAAGGGGGAAGGGAGACAGGGAGGGTGGAGATGAACGAGGAAGGAGAGAAGCGGGAGGAGGGGAGGGATGGAACGACGAGGGAACAGCAGCAGTAAGGACGAGGAGGCCAAAAATGACGACGAGCGCCGATAATCACAGGACGCTGTCTTCTCCGGGCATCCGCTGGCACCGAAGGCGCGCGCGTTCCAATCGGCAGAGTGGCCGACCAAGCATGGGTCGCTCTCGGGCTAGAGTAACTCGCTCGGAGGTGTGCCCACGAAGGCGCACAATCAAGCGTTCGGGGCTCGACGCGCAAAATGCGTCCTGGGTGTCCTGGGCGGGCGCCGTTGCAATCCCGCGCTCGCCCCAAACACCTGGGGCCCCGAACGTCAGGCGCGGTCGCCAGGGGCTGCTCCCGGGAAAACCCGCCTGGCGTCGCCCCGGCTGGGTCCGGGCACGCGTCGGGGGGCACAGTCGCCGACGCGCGTTGATGGTGCCCTCGGACACGTACCCGTACCTAGTCGAGGTGGCGTTTGGTCGAAATCGCTCTCGGGCGCACGCGCGGCCCCCGAGAGCGCTCCCGAACGCGGCCGCAGCGGCCCCCGAGGGGGCGTGAGATTGCAACGACGCTCCTGCGGGCAGGCCCAAACGCAACGAAGTGGTGGTGCCTGTCCCCAAATGGGACAGGCACCACCACTCCAATACTGTTCTAAGCTTCTAAACCCCGCGGACATCCCCGATGCCCCCAGACGTCCCTGACGCAAACCAGGGCATGTCCCTGCAATCGAACAGCCAGCCGTTCCGCGTGTCATTGCGTCCTGACGCGCGGATGCTGAAACAGCGCGCACGCGGCAAGCTGATCGGGCGCAGTGGCAAGCGCCCAATCCAGCGGACGGCCCTTTTCGCCCAGGCCGACCCCGGATAAAGGTATGTGTAGGACCAATGAGAAAAACAAATTGTGCCCAACCCTCACAGGCGACCCTGGCCCCGCGCGAAGCTGCCGGAAGCCCTGCCGCTCGCGCCAAGACGCATAGCGTCCGAGGGCACCAAAAGAGGCCGGCTCCGCATATTCAGCACCAGCCGGGGCCACTCATCCCGATCTCTTGGAAACCTCGGTAGCCTTCCCAGCCCCGCTCTCCGAACCGAAGCAAGCTGAAGCGAGAGCACCGAAGGCCTCCCAGACGGAATCGGAGCAGAGGGGGTCGGAGGATCGCTCCGCATCGTCGATGCACCACCGATACATGCATCAGCGATGCATCTGCGATGCGGCGCGATCCTCCGACCCCCACGGTGGGCGCAATCAGAACGATGCGGTGCCGTTCGCTACGACGCCCTCGATGGCTGCGCCCGCCCGACAAAAGCACGATCGAGAGATTGCCACGCCATAACCATGCGAGCCGCGCATTCCCAAAAACGCCGGCCGCAAGGATAAAAAGCTATGCGCAAAGATATACGAGAGCCCAGGCGGGGTCAGCTGGATTTCGGCTTTGATTATGTTCGAATAACACTTGAGGGGGGTCATTTTTCGCCTGGGCCTACTCACCCCCACCTACTTGGACCCAATCTGGGAGGCCTGGAAGCACAGCTTAAATCTGACTGGGCAGCAATGAAATCAATCATCGGAGGGAGGCCGGTCGTCGCCCCGAAGCCCTCCTCTCACGTCACGTCCCCTCCCTGTCACCAAATCCGACATGAACTTCGCAATCCTTCTACAAGCGCGTTCCAATTCTCGCAAATGGTCTGGACCCACCGCGGAGTATGTACGATCCACTGCATTGAAGCAAACATTTGTTCCTCGAGCGTTTGCGAGCAGGCATTTTGCAACCTTCCCAGGAATCCGACGTCACAAAAATAAGTACAACATCGGTACGAAAAGACTCGACCGGAGCCCTGGACTCAATCTTTCTGCAAGACTTCTCGAGCCGCATCGATCTGCCAGAGCTCCCGACCCCGTCGCTGGGGGTAATTTTGCGTCTCGAGTCAATGTTTGATGGCCAAAGTGCACGGTTACGAGCCCCATGCCGAAAAAGAAGAAAAGCGCTGGGAGTGACGAAGATCATATCGTCGGAGTTGAGAGTCACGGGGCCAGAAACAAGGCAACATAGCCCGTCGTGGAAAAGATGCGGCGCCAGGATCTCAGGGTTGACGGGTAGTATGGCGAATACAGTTCCCCAATTTCTGTGGTTTCCGTAAAGGCCAAAACATGTGTGCCGAACGCCATGATACATGATGGGGGGGGCTTCCATCCTCGACATGGGTGCGTCCGAATAGCCCCCCGGTGGTGTCCCCGAGCGTCCCTCCTCTGATCGGCTTCACTTTTCGGGCAGCACTCGAGGAGGAGGGAGCGAGTATGGGGTGGGTGGAAAGACGTGGAGGAGGAGAAGGAGGAGGAAGAGGGACGAGGACGCGGCGGAGCACTGGCAGGATGGGGGAGGGGATCACAAAAACAACAGGAGGAGAAGCGAAAGAGGAGGATCCGGAAGCGGCGAAGGGATGAGCAAGCATGAGATCGAAGGAGCAGCCACAGCAGCGGCAGCGCAGAGCCGAAGGGGGAGCTGTGCGCGGGCGGCGGAGCCGCCGACGACGACGACGCCGACGGCGGCCGCGGGCGGCGGGGACGGCGGCGGCGTCGAAGCAGACGACGACGGCGACCCGCAGGTGCAGGCGACGGCGACCCGCACACGACGGCGCCGCTCTCCTCTGGCGGGTGCTGCAGCCGCAGCCTGCCGACCGCCTGCTCGCCCAGCAGGCGGTTCCACGCCGCGGGCACGGCGACGCACTCCTCGGGAGAGGCAAAGAGTACCACTACCACCGGCTGGGGGAGTGGGCCTGTTGTCCACCACCACCACCATAAGTTTGAGGGGGGGGGTCCTCCTCCTCCACCTCCACCTCCTCCTCCTCCTCGTCTTCGTCCTCCTCCTCCTCCTCCTCGTCCTTCACTTCCTTGCCCCCGCCAACTTATGGTGGTGGTGGTGGAAAACAGGCCCAGTATACGGGGATGGCCGCTCACTCTCCTCGAGGTGCCACAGGCTCGAGAGGGTGGGGCAGCCATCACCCCAGCTGGTGGTAGTGGTGCTGTTGTCTCTGGTAAACTCCAGGACCCGGGGGCCGTCGGCACCCTCGGCGTCCGTGCCTCCTGGGGCGGGGCGGAGAGGCGGCGGTGCCGACGGGGCACGAGCACGGCGGCTCGCTCACCAAAGGATCGTTTTGCACTTCGGCGGTGGCCTCGGTGATCCGGAGGGTGGTGGAGGGGGGGGAAGTGTCTCGGCCGAGCACCTAGACGAATCGCAGTAGGCAACCCCACGCACGCCCACGGCGCACCAGTGCTGCACATCCCCGACGGAACTGCGCAACCGAAAAGATCAACTGATCTGGGGGGGAAGGGGTTGGAGCGGGCGGGACCCATCTAACCAATGCCATCGCCGGACCCTGAAAACCATGTCCATGGTCCCTCGCGTCGTGAACAGATCACGGCGGAAGCTTGCTCGCTGTTTTTTCGGCCTCTGGGGGCCCTCACCGGGCCCCGGAGCTGCGAAAGAAAGACTCGGGAGGAAATGGTAGTCCCCCAGAAGGGGTCCAGACCTCTGGGCGTTCACGTCAGGAAACAAATCACGACGTCGGGGGTCGGGATCCGTGCTGTGGTGGCCGTCGGCGCTGTCGCCATGCAGGCCGCGCGGCTGGGCGGGGTGGGATGCACACGTTCTCCCGAATGTCTTCTTGCAGCAGCGCGCGGCAACTGCGGGGCTCCTGGGGTCGCCACTCGGAATGTGCAGAAGGTGATGTGCGGGAACATGTGAACAAAAACAAACAAAAAACGCTGCGTGCGGAACGCCTATGGCTCAGCTCGCCATTGAAATAATCAAACCACAATGGCAGCAAGGAAGGAGGAGGGAGAGAGGGGGGGGAACAACTAAGAAAGAAAACGAAGCAGACAAGACACCTGCGCCAATGTACCTCACCTAATCCGGATGGCCGGCTGGGGTGGAATACGTGTGCATTGGAGGTTGGGCGGGTGAACGAGACCAGAATGGAACGGAAGCCACCAAGCGAAACATCGGTTTCGGTTACGGTTCGTGTCGTGCTTGACGGGCGTGCGGGCGAGGCAACACTGCTGGAGTTCCTGCACTGGCGAAGGTCAGGAACCGCCCGCTCTGGTCCACCAAGGCGTGCGCGGGGTCGTCCCGCGGTTGCCCCGTGAATGCTCATGGCTCTCCCGTCGTGGCTGACCCGTGGCTGTCTCGAGGGTGTCCCGTGGTTGTCCTGTGGTTGGTTACGTGGTTGCCCCGCGGGTGTCTCTTGCAACTGCCTCGTAAGAGCCCCGACGGTTGTCCGTAGTTGTTCCACGGTTGTCCCGCAATTGTTCCGTGGTTACCTGGGGACTGTTGCGTGGTTATCCAGAGGCTGCCCCGCGGTTGTCCCGTTGATTGTCTTGTGTTTGCCCCACTTCTAGGGAAGCTTTTGGTAGATGGACTGCGAACCCGGTTCAGCTGTGCTGATATAACGGGGACCTATATATACACATATATATATATATATACATACACAGAAAACTGATATGAGAAGATTTCCAGCGCGCCGGCCGTGATGGGTCTGGCGTGCCCATGGAAGGCCCCAAGACGACCCCAGAGTGCCCCAAGAGGGCCCCAAGACGGGCCAAGAAGGCTCTAAGAGGTCTTTCAGACGGTTTGCAAAGGCCCTGAGCCGACGAGCGATCGGTCCAAGACACTCCAGATGGCCTCCAGAGCCTCCAACACGCCCCAAGAAGACTCCAAAAGCCTTCCCAAGAGAGCTCCAAGAGGTGAAAATCTTCCCATTCCACTCGGAAAACATATGGTTGTAGATCATGCGACTTTTCGGTCTTCACGGCGTCCAAGACGGCCCAAGAGGCCTCCAAGATCATCCCCGGACGGCCCAAGCGACCCCAAAAAGGTCCGCGAGACGCCCAAGGAGGGCCGCAAGGCGGCCCACGAAGACCCCAAGACGGCCCAAGAGGGCCCACAGAGGGCCCTCAGAGGGGGAACTCAAATTGAGATTTCGAGCCCTCCGCCCCAAATGGGAGCCCCCGAGACTGCCAGCAGGCTCTCAAGAGGCCCCCCAGAGGCCAAAAAGATGCCTCCTGACAGGCCCCAGTAGCTCTGACCTCTAAACTGAGAAACGACCGCGCGCCATAGCCGCTCCAACCCGATCATAGATCGAACCGAGGAGCCGTTTGGTACGGCGACGGTCAGAAAGTCAAGATTTTGTTATGCAGATATACATACATATACATACACATATACTCATATGTAAGATGCATACCAAAATAATGAGAACGCATATATAATGGCGGAACCCTATAATTAGTCCGATCGATGTCTCGTGGTTGTCCTGCGATTGTCCGTGATTGTATGCCCGTTGCTCAATGGTTGTCCCATGGTGGTCCTGTTGTTGTCCCATGGCTGTCCCACGCACACAGGTCGAAAAATTAGGGTAGCGAAACATAGATGTATGATAGAGGCCAAAAAAACTTCGACATACACATCCGGTAATCGCATCGATGTCCCGTAAGAAGTGCCCTGTGGTTGTCCCGCGGATGTCACGTGGTTGTTCCGTTCTTGCTCCGCGATTGTCCCGTGGTTGTCAATTGGTTGTGCCGTGGTTGGAATGTGTTCGGTGGTTGCCCCATCCTTGTGATTGATGGTGAGATCGGCAGATAAATCACACAAGAAGTAGTTTGATGATGGGATTGGTGAATAGATAGTGGTGACGAAGACCATTAGATAGATAGAACGCGAAAGCGATCATCCTTTTCTCAAACCGGATGCTGCAGCCCCCGCCACGACCTTCCTGATCACTCGAAGGGTGGTCCTTTAGCTGTGGCTACATGTCGATGCGGGAGCGAGCATGCCAGAGCGAATCTTGAAATGGCCCACCGTCGCGGCGACTCAGACTCGACCATCTCCTGGGTCGGTCCCCTTGCATCTCAGATGAGCCCTACTGAAATCCGATCGTCGTGAAGCGTGAACCTGACGCTATACCATGATCAAGCCGAGAACCGCTATGAATATGAACGCATCGAGCAGGAGTGGTGCTGTGAGCGAGGCAGCGTTGGCGACAGCCACCGCAACAAAGCAGTAGGACAACGCCGCAAGCGTCACAGCCTTCGCGGTTATCACTGGAACACACCCCGCGTGATCCCCATATACAGGCTTGAACACGAAAGCAGCGACGGAGATAGCGCTTATAACGACACAGAGTTCCATATGCAAACCTGGTGGCCACGTCGTCAAGGCTAAAGCAACCAATAAACCTAGGGACGCCGGACGCCTCATCCGCAATGGCCGCGAACTGCGTCGAGTTGATACTCTCCCAGCCTTGGCTGCAGCACATCCACATTTACTGACGCTGCCCGGGCCGCCTCAAGATTCTCAACCCGCGCCTGAGGTCTGCACCACCTGCCTGGTTCGGTACCCCGATACCCTTGACAAGCGAAGCAATCCCCACCCCCTCTGGGGACATCTTGGCCCCGCTGGCTGGCCTGCCCCCCTGGGTGGGGAGGATGGGTGCCGTCTCCTTTGGTTTTTGCAGCACCGATATCCACCCAGAGGGGGTACGCTGGGAAAGCTAGATAACCCTGTTCCAGTGGTGGGGGGGGGGGTTCTGACGATGGTGAGGGAGGTACCAACCATGTGCGCCAGTGAGCGGCAACAAGGGAGGTCTCTCCGAGGCCTCCCCTCCAACTCCAAGTGGTCAAGTGGTCTCCTGAGAGACACCCCCTTCACGTCCTGGAGGTCTCTGAGGGGTTTCTTCCGAAGGATTCGCGGCCTCTCTCGCCTCAAGCTCCTTGGCCTTATCACCATCACCAGCGCCATCATCATCATCATCATCATCATCATCATCATCATCATCATCATCATCATCATCATCATCATCATCATCATCATCATCATCATCATCATCATCATCATCATCATCATCATCATCATCATCGTCATCATCATCATCGTCATCGTCATCGTCATCGTCATCGTCATCAGCATTATCATCATCATCATGAGGATCATCATTATCACCATCATCATCAGCATCCCCCTCCTCATAGCATCGTCATCACCACCACCATCACCATCACCATCACCGTCACCATCACCACTACAATCACCATCACCATCATCGCCACCAACATCATCATCATCGTCATCATCATCATCATCATCATCATCATCATCGTCAACCTCATCATCAGCACATAATCCTCAGCACCATCACCATCACCTTTACCATCACCACCATCGTCCTCATCCTCTAGGCAACATCTTCACCTCCATCAACATTACCAGAACCATCACCATCAACGCCACCACCATCATCAGCATCACCATCACCCTCATCACCAGCACAGCATCATCAACACCATCACCATCACCATCACCACCATCGTCCGCATCCTCATCGTCATCCTCTTGTTTGGCCTCCTCATCACCATCACCTAATTAGCAAATGCATCCCATCTTAAGCAACATCTCCATCTTCATCATCATCACCATCAACACCAGCTCAGCATCGTAATCACCATCACCGTCATATGTATCACAAGCACCCTCATCAGTATCATCGTTATCATCAGCATCACCATCATCAACATCATCATCGACATCCGCATTGCCATCATGCTAATCATCATCAGCATCATGAGATCCACCATCCCAATATGCATCATCACGATCATCATCAGCAACAACATCATCAACCTCATTAACATCATCCTTATCATCGCCGTTTCAATCCTCACCTTCCGCATCACCATCATCATCAACATCAACAGCAGTACCACCGTCATCATCATCATCACCATCACCACCATCAGCAGCATCGTCATCACCATCATCAGCATCACCATCATCATCCTCAACATCGTCACCATCAGCAACAGCAGCAACAACATCATCATATCTCGCGTCTTCCGCCGCCGCCTCTCCCTCCCCCTCCTCGTCCTGTCAATACCTGTCATCATCATTCCTCCTCTCCTGCTTCTCCTGCTCCTACTGCTCCTCCTTCTCCTGTTCTTGACTTCGCCTCTTGCAGCTTCTGTCTACGGTGTTTTCTCCACCACCCCGTGCTCCTCACCGTCCTCCTGGGCCTCCCCACATCCTCCCCGCTCCCCTCATCCCTCATCCCTCCCGAACAGAGAGGATGCTTTCGGCTGCCACGGACGAAAACGCTCCGCTGGGGCCCCAGAACCGTGCGGTGAAAGACCGCGTGGTGACCTTGGAATCCCCAACGACATCCCCGAGCGGTCCGTCACCGCATGGCCTTGGGATCTCGGACGCCCCAATCGTCCGAGTCTTCTTCGGAGAACGACCCGAGTCCCCAAAACCGTGATGTGACCCCGAACCCCCACTGACTCACCACACGGTGTGGTCATTACCCCGTTTAGGGGACCCCCAATTCTGAGGGTCGCGGATGCCCCGGGGGACCCCCGGGACCCTGTGTCCAATGTGACTGTCCTGAACAATAGGTTCTGGGAGGTGCTCGCGGGAGGCTGACAAACGGGGAAGAGCCTTAGACGCCACTCCATCATTCCTCGTCCTCATCCTCATCCTCATCCTCATCCTCATCAGTATTATCATCATCATCATCAGCAGCGTCATCGGCATCAGCATCATCAGCAGCAGCAACATCCTCATCATCATCAGCAGCAGCAACAGCAGCAGCAACAGCAACAGCAGCAGCAGCATCCTGATCATCATCACCATCAGCATCATCATCATCATCGTCGTCGTCGTCAGCAGCAGCATCGTCATCAACATTATCAAGCATCACCATAATCGCCATCATCACATCACCATCACCCTCACCATCTTCAGCAGCATCATAATCGTCATTAGCAACAGCATCATCATCAGCAGCAGCACTAACATCACCATCAACATGGTGAGCACGGCCGGCCATGGTCTTCGTCACCATTGCCAGCGACACCGTAACCATCGTATCATTAGCATCATCACTATCCTCATCAACATCGTCACCAACATAATCACCATCATCTCCACCACCAGGATGATAGCAACCATCAACACCAGCATCAACATCATCACTACCATCAGGATTGCCATCACAGCCATCATCATAATTTGCATAATCAGCATGAGCACCGCTACGATCATAAACATCGTCATCATCAGCACCGTCGTCATCATCGGCATCATCACAATCAGCCTCGTGTTCATCACTTCCCTAATCATCATCAACCGCATCATCATCATAATCATCATCATCATCAACCACATCGTCATCATGACCATCGTGGGCATTAACACGACCAACATCATGATCAGCACCAGCACCGTCACCCTCATTCGCAGCATCATCATACTCAGCATTGACATCATCCTCATTAGCATCATCACTGCCATCGTCATTGTCATCATCGTCACCGTCGTCACCCTCGCCTCTCCATGGCGGCACGGGCCCCCTCACCTACAGGGGCCCCGCCCGGTGCCTGGCGGCAGGATCTGCACAGCGGCCCGCTCCACGAGGAGCCGCGCAGTCGTGTCGAAGTTGGCCAGCGTGACCAACTCGGGGTCGCCGCCTCACGCGCGCGCGCGCGTGCTGGCCTGAGGGGCAACGTCGGGGGAGGAGGAGGAGGAGGAGGAGGAGGAGGAGGAGGAGGAGGAGGAGGAGGAGGAGAAGGAGGAGGAGGAGGAGGACGAGGACCAGTGGAAACCCAAGAGACATTAACGATGTTGGAATTAATTCTCCCCCCGAGCCCCGGGAACTGCCTCGCTGGAAGACAACAGTTTGAAGATCCTGAAGCGTGCAAAAGCATTGTTCTCGGGATTTGAACGCCACGTATCAACCTGATGGGTGCGTCGTGGCGATCCAGAATCGTCCCAGAACGCGATTGTCAACTTCTGGTGCGTTGATCATGGAAAACCGTGAAACTCTTGCACATTAAAAAATTAGCCTGGCGAAGGACCCTACCATAAGCAAGTGTTCGTAACGCGTCGTGGGTGCCGCTTTCGGTGGGGCTCCCTATGGGCCCACGGAACGCTGCCTTGGGTGGGGGAACCGCATGCGAACTGCGCCACTGGGGCGGGCCTTCGGTGGAACTCCCTATGGGGCCATCGGTGGAGCTTCCTATGGGGCCACGAAACGCTGCCCTGGGTGGGGGAACCGCATGCGAACTGCGCCACGGGGGCCTTCGGTGGAGCTCCCTATGGGGCAACGAAGCGCTGCCCTGGGTGGGGGAACCGCATGCGAACTGCGCCACGGGGGCTTTCGGTGGAGCTCCCCATGGGGCCACGAAACGCTGCCCTGGGTGGGGGAACCGCATGCGAACTGCGCCACGGGGGCCTTCGGTGGAGCTCCCTATGGGGCCACGAAGCGCTGCCCTGGGTGGGGGAACCGCATGCGAACACCGCCAGTGGGGCCTTCGGTGGAGCTCCCTACTGCCCTGGGTGGGGGAACCGCATGCGAACTGCCTTCGGTGGAGCTCCCTACTGAACCGGCCTTCGGTGGAGCTCCCTATGGGGCCACGAAGCGCTGCCCTGGGTACGGGAACCGCATGCGAACACCGCCAGTGGGGCCTTCGGTGGAGCTCCCTATGGGGCCACGAAGCGCTGCCCTGGGTGAGGGATCCGCATGCGAGAGCAGCCTCCGGGGCCTTCGGTGGAGCTTCCTGTGGGGCCTCGAAGCGCTGCCCTGGGTGGGGAACCGCATGCGAACACCTCCAGTGGAGCCTTCGGTGGAGCTCCCTTATGGGGCCACGAAGCGCTGCCCTGGGTGAAGGAACCGCGTGCGAAAGCAGCCACTGGGGCCATCGGCGGAACTCCCGATCACTCACTCACTCACAAGCCATACGCCGTCCGGCGCGTGGGCACGAAAACAAGGTCAAGAAATCACAGACAGCAATGGGCGAAACGCTGCGCCAGCTAAATAGATCAAGAGGAGGAGGAGGAGGAGGAGGAGGAGGAGGAGGAGGAGGAGGAGGAGGAGGAGGAGGAGGAGGAGGAAGGCGCGCCCGATGGGGCCACGAAACTCTGCCCTGGGTGGGGGAACCGCATGCGAACACCCCCACTGGGGCCTTCGGTGGAGCTCCCCATAGGGCTACGAAACGCTGCCCTGGGTGAAGGAACCGCATGCGAACACCCCCACTAGGGCCTTCGGTGGAGCTCCCCATGGGGCTACGAAGCGCTGCCCTGGGTGAGGGAACCGCATGCGAACACCCCCACTGGGGCCTTCGGTGGAGCTCCCTATGGGGCCACGAAACGCTGCCCTGGGTACGGGAACCGCATGCGAACACCGCCAGTGGGGCCTTCGGTGGAGCTCCCTATGGGGCCACGAAACGCTGCCCTGGGTGGGGGAACATGCGAACACCCCCACTGAGGCCTTCGGTGGAGCTCCCTATGGGGCCACGAAACGCTGCCCTGGGTGGGGGAACCGCATGCGAACACCCCCACTGAGGCCTTCGGTGGAGCTCCCTATGGGGCTACGAAGCGTGTGAGAGGTATGCCGAGAGCAGAGGCAAAGAGGGGGAGGAGGGAGGAGGGGGAGGAGGAGGAAGGAAGGTGGGACGCGGGGCGCTGTCTCTTCAAAACCAGGACCCAACACCACAGGATGGTTGGGAACAAATGTGCGCGGCGCTGAAGCGAGAGCCACATTTTGAAAAAGAACCGCCCTCAATCCGTGAAGCTCTTGCAATGTTTAAAACGAATGTGCGCGGCGCTAAGGCGAGAACCACATTAACAAACGGCCCGCCCTCAATCCGTGAAGCGCTTGCAAATGTTTGAAACGAATGTGCGCGGCGCTAAAGCGAGAACCACATCAAAAACCACCCGCCCGCAATCCGTTTAATTCTTGCGAATATTTGAAACGAATGCACGCGGCGCTAAGGCGAGAGCCACATTTTGAAAACGGCCCGGCCTCCATCTGTGAAACTGTTGTCGCATTGTAAGCTTCAGGGTCGTAGATGGCGAGGAAGTCTCAGGCGAAACGCCCGGCCTGCCCTAAAAACTGGCCTCGGGGTGCAATAGGGAGGAGTTATCGACCACGAGACGGAATGCAGGAGGAGGAGGAGGAGGAGGAGGAGGAGGAGGAGGAGGAGGATAAGACGCTGCTTGGCGCCGCCGCGCGTCCGCACCGACGGGCACAAAAGCGGAGGGGGGGGGCCCAACGACCTCCCCTCAAGGCTCCGATCGCGACGATGCCCACCCGAAGGATCGCGGCAGCATCGCGGAGCACAAAACTGTTATGAATATGACTATGAAGTAGGCAGCCTCACACCATGAGGATTAGAGTGCTGGCTGCCTGTGAACAGTGCTGGGATCCACCAGGAGCCTCAGCCAATGAACCTCGGGATCCGTGACCTGCAGAGGCCTGGGCGCCAAGAAAAACCCGACCGTCAACACGCCCCTCGTCGGCAGGGTGTTTCCCAGCCAGAAACAGTTTCCTGTTACGGGCAGCTTGCTCCGAGGTGCGATTATCCTCGGCAGCAAAGTCAAGTAACAAATGACCAGCGGTCCCCGTTGAAAATAAACCGCACGACGCGCATAGGACGCAATGGCCTGGAGCGACCCAAACCCATTGGCCTCTCGAGGCCGCCGCAGGCACAATGCCCAGACGCGGCACCATGGCCGCAGGGACCGTGAAATCAGCCTCGAGGGGCCTGTCGTTCCTGCCGAGACCCTTGCGCTGTCGCTTGCGGGCGGGGGCAAAAAAGCTGGGCCTACACGATCTGGAATCGAGTTAGGGTCGACCGTACTCCTGGCTCCGCTGTGGGCCGACGAAGGACGATCCGAGACGCAGACTCTGGCAACCGGTTGCTCGAGTTCTCGAGCATCGATGGTGGAGGTGGCAACAATCGGATCGAATTCAACACGCTGTCGGATCGCACGCCCTTCAGGGCTGCTGCACGACTCTCCAGATTCGGCGGCACGCTTCCTCCCCTCCTGGAATTCAACCGGGGGAGGGGGAGCGCACCCTACATCACTCTCTTGCCACGGGCAGGACGCTCAGACAGTTGAAGCTTCTGACGCTCCCTGAACGTCCTCACACCTTTCTTACAACAACTGCATTTGGTAAACCCAGCCTGAGCAGGAAGACGTGCCTCAGGTGAGGCGGTGGTGGTGGGGGGGGGCTGGGCCTTATGAGCCTTGCTTCGGCGAGGTCGTGCTGTATCCCGCCTTCGCGTGTCAGTCCTCCCCTCACTCAAATGATGCAAATGCGCAGCAACAAACCAATGCAGCACACGCCGGGTGGACCGAAGGACGAGGCGCATGGATTTCTGCTACTGAGACGTAGCAGCATGAATATCTCTGCCAGTGCGCGCAGCTAAATCCGCCTACCGATTCGCTCTCGCAGGGACAGATGATCCAAGCTGATGCCCACGGACATGAGACACTTGAGTGGCCTCTCCAAGGCCTCCGTGGTCGCCGATATTGTGCCATATCCTGGCCCACAAATCCGAGTTGGGCCGTCGGGGCCCCGAGGTGTACGACGGTCCCCAGGCAAGCCCATCTAAAATGCCCATATAATATGTATGTACACGCACGGGTGTGATACATGCTTCTAGGACTTTCAGGAACGAGTATGGCTCAGGCCGTGGGGAACTTTGGATCGGACCTGGGAGCGCGCCATAGACCATACGCTCGATTCTGGAGGTGTACTTAACGAAGCCCCACCCCGCCCTCGAATACTCTGGCCAGAACCAAGGTTTCTTGCAGGCCCCGTCCGTGAATATATCTCCTGTAACTCGGTCAAGAGATCCGTACTCGACGTGCCAGCGATCGCTGCCATCTCGTCGCTGCAGGGGAGGAAAGCATGATCGCGAGGAAAGCCCTCGCGTCCATAACCACAAGCCATGCGTTCTCTGTGAGAACCCTCTCAAATCGGTATTGCATAGGACGGTTTGCCGCTGCTGTTCGCGTCCAGAACATTCCCAAACGATGTGATACGAGGTGCAGTACTCGTTCGGGCACAAGGGACACTTCGAAGTAAGAGCGTGGCCCAGAATCCACCACCAACGATAGTACTTAACATGGCACTTTCCTGGAAGGAAGGGGTCCATGGGGTGGCTGCCTGCTCTTCTTCGGGTTCCGAATCTGAGTCAGCGGGGCCTTCTGGGGCTCTCTGAAGCACACTCATAATGGGCTCAATCCAATACCCAATGGGTTCCTTGGGGTCCATCCCGTCATCTGCAGGGTTGCCTCGTGATGAAGACGACCACATCTTACGAACAGCAGCAGCTCTCGCCAATTCGCGCACACTATATGGGGCAAAGGAGCGGAAATCGATCTTGTCACTTAGACCCGTTCCAACGACGATGGCGGAGACGGAGCGCCAACCGATGTCTCTCAAGGCCAGCAACATTGCACCCGTCGTCCCTGACACTTGTATCCAAGGACTAGGCGCTTGGAGGAAGCATGATCGCGAGGAAAGCCCTCGCGTCCATAACCACAAGCCATGCGTTCTCTGTGAGAACCCTCTCAAATCGGTATTGCATAGGACGGTTTGCCGCTGCTGTTCGCGTCCAGAACATTCCCAACCGATGTGATACGAGGTGCAGTACTCGTTCGGGCACAAGGGACACTT